TGTTGACTACGAAGAGTGTTATTCTATGAAAGCAGCAGAAACTTCCATGGGTAGGGTATCGATTCATACAAAGGTTACTTCATTCATTCGGTAGTGCCTGGAGGCAGAAGTTTTGAATCTGGTTAAGCTTATTTCTCAACAAAAAGAGTCAAATCATTATATGCCGTAATCTGTGGTTTACAGCTACTCACACTGCAGATATTTCTCACCAATTCCCGGTCTGTGCTCCTACAATTTCAGCTGATATCACTGCAATTTCAGTGTGTCCCAGCCCAGCCATTACATCTTGAGTCTGCCACCCACTTTATGTCCTATGGTTTTCCTATCTATAGGTTTAAAGCCGTCACAGCGTCTGATCCTTCGAAAATATTCATTTGATGGAAATGGCTGAGAAACCTCAATTTATGAAACATTGCACGGTAAATTCATAGTGTTATACAAACTGAACAGCACCAAAAAAGTTCATTCAGCTCAACCTGTCTGCGTCAGTGCTTTTACTCCATGTAATGCCCTCTCCCTACCCCCTCCCATAACACGTGTAGGTTTCATTGCACCTTTAGTAACCATTAGATTTACCAATTGCATTGATTCAATGCAGAAATATTATCAAATGCAGCAAAACTGTGCAACACAGTTTCTGTGTCAGATAATTATTTGGGGAGGACAAGTTTGCAGGGCTATGGGGAGAGCGCGGGGGAATGGGATTGATTTGGGTAGCTCTTTGCAAAGAGCCTATGTATAAGCCTATGATTCTATGAAACAACTAGAGTATAAAACCCACAGAGAAGCCGATAGTACTGCCTTGTGACAACTCTGTGTAAGAATTAAGATGTCTGCTTACTAGATTCAGAATAGCCTGAGGCAGACATGTACCTCTATTGAAAGTGACGGCACAGCTCACATATACACACACATTCAAACATGTTCCTTTTAAGTAACAGACCAACAAATGTTTTCTTTTTGGAAAAGAGTATGAGAAGGTAAACAAATATGAAGTAGTTTATGCATGATCTGGAGAGGGAGAGAGAGCTAAATAAGTCAACATTCCTAAGGATGGATGTAAGTTACTGTATAATATTATTTAGAGTCCAATATCAAAATATTTGTTAATTTATTGCCCGTGTACAGGATGTGCCCATTCATATGTATCGTACTGTTGAGGTAATTGCATTACCTTGTGAAGTCCAAACCTTATTAAATTCTCAATGTTAGATAAAATTATGATATGCATATTCTGGGAACTGGATTGTCATTCAAGTTGCACATCAGTCAAGATGCACGTTTCTCAGAGGACAGATTCAAACACTGCAGTACTGTGCAGAATGAGTAATAACCTGTGGTACAGTATTAAGAGCCTACAGTCTGCACTGAGCTGGGGACTAGCAGAAATCAAAGACTGTTGCTGATTTTGTAGGCCAATATGCCTTGATTTCTTTGCGTAAGTGCAAGAGCTTTGTATTGTAAATTGCTTGGCATATTTGTGATGCCATATAAAATATTAAAGTTAATATACCACAGGACTTCTAACACACTTGATAATGTGTGGCCTATTGCCAGGAAGTAATGCTCAAGGAATATCATTTCTGGGATTCATTATGACAGCTCTAACTTTCAACCAATATTGCACTGGGATAAATTTTGTGGTACTTCTTAACAGATTTCTTGATTGAGAGATCCAAAGGGGAACTCCTTCTGGCAGCTGAAAGTGTATCACACACTTCACTCCTACTCAAGGAGAACCTGCTCTAAAAGTTGATTAGGTTGGAGTGTTGTACCCAAGAGTTAGTGTAACATATTTCCAGATTTTTTAATTAAGAAATTCCATTAAGAAACGCAGCAAAATTGTCCCCATAGTTTCCAACGTGTACAAAGATATTTTGGCACATCCAGGCTACAGAGTGATGCCTCAAATTGTTATTTGCCACGACAATAAATTGTGCACATGTTACAAAATGCCGATGAGCATGTTTTAAAACATATTAATCATTCTTAAAATGGTAGACGCTGTGCGTTTCATGCTATTTCTTGCATCCCTTTTGAAATATTTATTCCAGCCAATTTGTTTGTTGGTAGATTTATAAAAATAATAGAATTGCACTCACTCTGGCACTGGTGGTTGCTTTAATGCCTCCCTCTCATGAAAGCACTCTCAATGCTGAATTGAGTACACTTAGTGTTTTCCACATCAAGGCCACAGCTGTGCCAGAAAATCATAATAGATTTTAGGTCCAGCAAGAAAGTGAAGTTTGCATTATGATTCGAATTATACGATATTCTATTGCTGTAGAGTTCAGCAATAACACCTACCTAAAGGCTAATGTTATACAGTAAATGACCACTGGACCCCTAGTTAGGAGGAGCTAGAACCATCTCAGTCTCTATAATAGTAATAATGATAACTCTTGCATTTGATATTGCGTCTTATCATGTCTTCGAGACGTCTCAAAGAGGTTTCACAGGATATACTGTAAAGTGAATTGAGTGGGCGAAACGCGGCAGCCAATTACACACAGCAGTGTCTCGCAAACAGTCATGGATTAAGTGACCAAATTATTTTTTNCTGAAGGAATTATTACCCCTGGAAAAGCGATCCGCCAATCGACTAACAACCAGGTTCGTACTTACTGCTAGGTTTGTTAACATTGCCCATCATTGTTTCTCACATTAAGCTTCAGCACTTAGCAGATGCATTTAATTATTCAAGGTAGCATTTGCATGTGGTATAGATGAAATATGATGGAAATTGTTCATATTTCTTTGGTTATGTCAATTCAAGTTAATTTGACCTCGCCTTGTAGCTGGGGATTAAAGGATTGATCAAACTTATTAGATCGGCTAAAAATAGGAATTTTTTCTGACTTAACTTCATAAGAGAGGAGTGACATTTAATATTCCAAGACTGAGGCAATCACTCAGACATTTGGGACAGTAATATTAACTACGCTGTCCTCTCAGTGGCAGATCATTGTCAGGTTTGAGGGGTTTCAGCCTGATGCGATATGGCATGTCCCTATTAACTCACGGAGAATGAAAAAGCTAAGTCTAATTGCGAAAAAACGTAAGTGCTGAAAAGTACGACAATAAAATTGACTTTTACTTTATGAAGCACAGAGGCAAGCTAGGCAATTACAAGATTCATGTAGAAAATGACCTCCATAAATTGACAAGAAGGCAAATGCTACTACATTTCACCTCTATTTATATTAATTCACTTCGCCTTTGATTTGAATGTTACAATCAAAATGGCACTTTTTTTCCCATCTGAAAACTGGCCTGATTAATTTCTCCGCAATAATAAAAAAATGAAATGCATATAATTTTAACGGAACCCATGCTAGAAATACAATTACTGTCAAATCCCTTGTTATCTCTTGACGTTCTACTGGAGTTTAAATTTATTATTTTCCTTTACCAAGTGAATGTACTGCTTGCCAAATATACCAGTATTCTCAACTAAATGAATTCATTCCACAGTAGTCCAAGTCTGTTCATCAAAGTTTAATTTAGTTCAATCTTGCATAACTCATTTTAATATTGTATCAAATGAACAGGGAAGCTTGAGCTGGTCTTAAATCACATTTAATTGATACAATAGGCTGCACAAGTGACTTGTTTACTTCTGTAGAGACAACAGTTTGTTTTTATCATGAAATGCAAAGTAAAACAACCATTTCTGGATGTTCACAGTGGATTTTCCCTCGACTGCATAGACGTCTTTTAAGAAGGAAGGTTTAGCTTTAAATATTTAAGTTGATATCATTGCTCCACTTTCAGTAGTTAATTCAGTATTTTTTTTTAAACCATGACTAATTTCATGAGAAGCTTGAGTCACAGTATTACAAATCTCATGATCCGCATCACAAAGCACAGCCAGCCATACAGACAACGCACCAGAATCACGGTAAATTAAACCTCTAATTGGGGAAACAAAAATGACTCATGTATAGCAATATTGTGAGTGGGATACATTATCTGGATGGCCAGAATGATGCTGGTCATGCGATCGGTATGACTGTGACTTTCATCTCAAAAACCTGACCAGAATAGAGAAGTAATTGTTCAGTGAGTGCAAGCGCTAATAAAATTAGCATCTACCTCGTCAAAGCAATTTTGTTGAGGCAGGGTCCATAAATTCTTTTAAAAAGGAACTGAATGCTTGAAAAAGAAGTACATTAAAGATTATGGGAGCAAGCGAGAGAGCGGAATTAGACGAGGAGGCTCATATGCAGAAAAAGATTAGAGCAGATTAAATGGGACAAATGGTCTATTTCTGTTCGGTCACATTTTCTGATTGCTTTACATTTGCTGGGAGATCAGACAGTGGGATCAATGTATGATCCAGATAGTGATTAGAAAAAAAGAATTTCATTGAATAGCAATACTCTTTTTTTNACTGACAATCGATCCCTTAGCAGATCTGAGTAGAGAAAATAGAGCCCAGTAGAGGAAGATATCCAACAATTTTAAAAATAGACATACAGCATAATAATAGACATACAGAAGTGGACAATATGATCTTAAAATAGTCCAATTTCTCTTCCCATATTTGTAAACCACCTACCCATAGTAAATATTATACCCTGTACCCCAGTATTAAGAGAATTACACTCCTATCCCTTCATACTTCACTGGTAATCACTGTTGAGTGATTGTTATTTGTAGGCAAACGCAGTAGACATTTTACACCCAACAAAGTCCCATAAACATCTATAGGGTGAATGACCAATTAATCTGGAGGATTGTCGGGCCTTTCCATCTGGAGTCATTCATTCATCCATTCACAATTTACTGAATCAGAGTAGATTCAGCCAGAAAAAATTAAACAGACTGCAATTGCCCTTCTGAGTATAAATGTTCATTTTTAGTCTATGTCATTAAATTTCTTTGTTTGGTTTTAATACCAGTTGAAGTACAAAGAGCTGCTAAAGATAACACAAACAGGACATTGTTGCTATTGTTTGATCTTTAACTTCTAGTTTTTTTTATTCCTTCTTCATTAGGCGGGGGTATGAAGATTTGGAAAGAAAGCTTAAGCAGATTTCTATGGAAAAAAGTAACCTTCTCCATCAGCTTTCAAAAACAGCAATCGAACTGGAAGGAATTAAAGGGAATCTTCAGGTAAGACACTTGGAGTTACAAAATCTTTCAACTCATTAAGCACTGCACAGCATCTGCAGATTCCAGTTCTTAGCCTACAGCTTGGCAATAAGTTTTCACACTACATAAATATCATTGAATACCACACTGGGTAAAATTAGCATAATGGATATAGTGGAAAAGGGAAACATTGAAGGAATTATCCTCAAAAAACATTTCCAGATTAATAATGTTCAGCTCATTCACAGAGGGATTTGGCACTGCTTTAAAGGGAAATTGTGGTGAACTAATGGGTTTATTTCCAAACAAAACTTGCTTCAAACTAGAGAGCTGCTGAGACCAAGTCTGATACATTTCTCTAATCGAACATCAGACTAATATATTTCTTTGATGTTCTGTTCGGATTTTGCATCTCTTAAGGCAGGGAGTGCATGTGTCTGGGAATAGAGAATCCTTCCTTTGAGCACAAAATAAAACACATCCAGGCACTGCATGGATAGAGCTGCAAGCACTTAGTTCCATCCCAATATTCCCATATCCTGGTACGTGCAACCCCTTTCACTTTTACACAATAACCTCCATCTACCCTATCTGAATCACGTTGCCCAATTACTGGCAATTAGTTCTGCTGTGAATTGATTGCTTTTACTAATGAGGTGGAGGTTGTTCCTATCCACTTCACTAGCAGCTCTTGATGATCATAACTGAAATTATTCTGCCCAGGTAGGATTCAAACCCTGGTTTTCATGAGTCAGAGTATTGTGTTCTATTCCACTGCATGCTATTATGATACCTTTGTGCTTCACGCTAGATTTTCATAAGAAATAATGGCAAAATTGAAGCTGGCATTACCGCATGAAGTGAAACGATATTATTTAACGTAATTACCTCAAAACCTTTGGGCATTTAAGTTAGCTGCCACTTTACAGACCTTGAAGTTATTCTCTACTATCTACTAAAGGCAGAAGAAATGAAGCTATAATCATTTTGATTCTTCTTTTCCATAATCTTCCTGGAACGATTTGGCCTCTTTGTATTCCACTGGAGACATGCAGTAAATACACTAAGTAAAGTAACTATAAAACTACTTAGTAAGTGCAGTCAGCAATCCAGCTTGGGCTACTGCAATTTCAATCATGAGATTGGTTTGGATGCAGAAGGTCCTTTGTCCCATCTGATCCCTCTTTCCAGGACACTCACTCCTACTATCTTCCCACCACAGCTTCAACCTTTTTTTTTAAGAACATAAGAACTAGAATTTGCTAGCCGAAACAAGATAAAGGTTCACCTAGTTTGCTTCTGACTATCCTGGCAGTCGCTTCAAGCGACAGGTTGTGTCCCAAACTATATACTGTATCCTGAGATATTATTATCTAGTAGAAATCTATCTAATTTGTTCTTGAAACAAATTACATTTTCTGCTTCCACCATCTCCCTAGGGAGCCTGTTCCATAAGTTTACTACTCGCTCACTGAAGTAGTGTTTCCGCACATTTGTTCTGAATTCAGCTCTCTTCAATCGCAGGCCCTATCCTCTGGTTTTACTGTTCAGTACAGGATAAAACAGTTTATTATGGTGTACATTATCTAGTCCCTTCAGAATCTTAAAGACCGTAATCATATCGCCCCTCAACCTTCTCTAGCGGGAACATTCCCAGTTTACCCAATCGCTCCTCATAGTCCACTCCTCCATCCCCTTGATCATTTTGGTTGCCCTCCCCTGTATCCTCTCAATCATTGCAACATCTTTTCCCCTCAATCGCCGCAATATCCTTTTTAGGATATGTCCTGGCCTCAACCACCCTTTTTGGCAACCTGTCCCAGTCACTATTCATATCTTTACACAATAAAAAAGTGCTTAAAAAGCACTTAACACTGCTTAAAAAATTGTCAAGTAGAATATTTTGGACAGCAGAAAAAAAAATACAGTTGGATAATTCACTTTCTTTTGGTAATGTTGACAAGCCCATCTGTTCCAATAAACCTCTTTCAGATGAATTCTGAAAACAACTCCCCCACTATACTGTGGGCTGAATCAGTGGTTTAGTTTTCATTATGCTGACTAGAATAGTATTGTCCACCCCTTATCCCACTCTGAGATTCATCATTACTGTGCAACCGTGTCACTGTTATCTTGTTTGCCCATTATCATGTGTTGTGGGTGTCAACTGCATGATGCCCACATAAGTATGCATCATCCAAATATTCACAACTAAATTTAGTCGCATGCACAATATGAGGCGATATATTGTTTCGGTAGGCGCTCTCAGGTTCCTCGTAAGAAAAATAAGAACAGACATGTCTCCCTGATTTTGACTTGTGCTTGACAGAATTCATATTGTATTGATGTGCGACTAAAAAAAAGGAAATCAGTAAAAATGATTGTTTTTGATTTAAGCAAATCTGATAAAATATTAAATAGAATTATTAGATTTTTTTCCAACACAATTCCTGTAAGAAGCATCCAACATTCTCTTTCAAATGGACGAGAATGAATGCAGTGCAGTTCTGCCTGAAGTATTAAAGCAATCTGACAGTAGGCTTCAGCATACTTTGTAATGGGATTTCAGCTATAATGAGACATAACAAGAGAAGTAATGAATAATTTATAGTTCAGCCTTTTCCTTCTCCGACTTATACTGTAAATGCTATTTATATTGTCTAGGTGCACATGCATTATAGGAAGCATTGAGTCCCAATTTCATACAACAAAATATACAGTGAAACATCCTGTTGTAAAGTACTGATTCACTTTTAAAGCAATAAGGCTTACATTTAATAAGACTTGTTATTGTATTCCACTTTCAACAATTTACATCTGCAACCAGGCAGTAAGTATGGTGAGATTGCAAATGGATTTGAGATGTGCTTAAGTTTCTGTTTTTAGTTATCATTTAAAGTGATTTGTATATATTTGCAAGTGATTATATCTTTACAAAACTGCATTAGATTGTGAAACCTAACTGTACCCTTTTTGCTTTCCTTTTTTTTCTATAATTAACTGGATGAAGATTAGTTCACAATCAAGATAGTTTGTGTGGAAATTGTTTTTAAAGACAATTTACAATATCAAATTTGCAAGATCATTTGTTTTAAGAACACCAAGGCGTTACTTGGATCTGTGACGCTCTATGCCCTGGTCTTTTAACACAATATATATATATAAAATATATTTTATTGGCTTTGTTTAAGTCAGTGTCTTGGGACATCCTCCCGACATGAAAGGACCATACAAATGTAATTTGTTGCTGTTGGTAGTCTGACTGAATATCCATTTAATCTCAGAATGGTATATTGCCTTACAGGTCTCATTGATGTGTAGATCTTCTGTAGTTATTCCAGAAATTAGGAAGTTAATTAGAAAAAAATTGCATTCACTAAATCGCTGGAAGTCAGCATCATTAAAATGCTAAATTATTTGGTCGTATTCCTTTTAACATCAGTGTTATGAAACAATAAAATCATACATGATTTGCAGAAGATTCTAATTTAAGGAGACTATTGTCAGCATAAACATCCTTTGTTTTTCAGACTGGAACATTTCCCCAATATTTTTTTCATAGTGATTGAGCAGAACAATATTCCGGATGTCGACTTCATGATAGAATGAGAGACATCTTTGCTTTCAAGAAGCCAATCCAAATTTTACATTATCTAGATAGAGTTGCACTGGGGTATTCAATATGAATGAAGTACTGTTAAATAAATGTCTTCTTTTTTAAAACATGATTACATTTTTGTTATTTGTTATAGAACATTAACTTTCTTAGTACTGTGCAAGTTGTTCTGTTGTGTAAAATCTCATTTATGTGATCTCTCTTCATTGTTTTTATTCCTATGTGAAACCCAATCAGTCCTTGAAAAGTTATGAAACCGTTGCCAAAAATGATGTTCAGAAACTTTTGGAAATAAGCCAGAAACAGAAGTAAGTCCCAATTTTATTTCCTGCCTTTACGTCAGAATTCTGAAAGAGTCTGTAAGGTTAGTTAGATTATTTCTGCTGGTTGGTGAAAATGCAGCAAGGAGGCATAACATTCAAGATTACTTGAAGCCTTAGGGGAAAGGTTTAGGATGTGCGACACATTACTGAAAGTGGTTATTGTAGAAGAATCAATTATGACATTTAAAAGGGAATTAAATAAATCATTGAAGTGTAGACATTTATAAACAGTGTGCGAAAAGAGAACGGAAATGGGAATAGAGTAGATAAATTTAGTAAAGACCAAGCACAATAGCTTCCGTCAGTACAAAAAATTCTGTGATTCTATGCATTAGTAAAGACTAATTTAAGTCATGTCAAGTTGTTATGTCATGTCACCTTATGTCGTGAATGAAGCCAAATATAGCTATGTGTTACCCTTGACAACAGGAATATTGGTTTTAAGTTATGTTAAATGTGCCCTGAAGTGAGGAAGTACAGTATACCCCTTTGTAGCTTGTGAATGAAGCTTCCACTAGCCTTAAAATATTGTTTTGTTTGGTGATACAGGGTCTAACTGACACTGCTGGTTGAAGTCTTCTCTTCGCCTACATCCTTATTACATTAGTAATGTTATGTTCAATATGACAAGAGACAACACCAGAACATCTCTACTGTACAGTACATTCACAAATGGTAAAAAAAATCAACTCATATCTGGATTATATACATGATTTGAGGATAAAATGCATCTTCCTAAGTAAAGGATTACATATAGTTAGCAAAACTCTTATCTTGTGTGAGTTGCAATAAATGCAGGGGAAGGTGAAACATTTCTCTGTGTTTCAATAGCTGAAGCAAAAAACATTGGTTGAAAAGACTTGTCTATGGCTCTTGTATTGCAACCCTCCAAAGCTTATTGATGTCACTGAAAGTGAATTATCAGAGAGCTGTCGTAGTTCTTATGAGAAAATGTAATAAGCTTTTCAAGGCTGAGGCAGGATCTAGCTATTGGATATTTTTCGTTACCATGGTCTGGTTCTGATTTTCCAGTTCTGAAGATCATTTTGTTATTTGTAAAGAGGCCAAACTAATGTCTTGTTAGGTTCACATAGCAGTGGGGTTTAGCTAGAGCTGAATTGGGTTTCTTGATATGCAGAGGCTCACAACATTTCTTCACAACTTGAGGACATACCCACTCCCCGTATCGCTATTGAGGGATCATCAAGATATATTAAGAATAAGAATTTTGTTTGACAGAGCTTATCATGGAAATTGCAAAAGGTTTCTAAATTTGCATCAGATGCAGATACATCTGTTGTAGCAAGACATCTGGGACACAAGTTGGCTATAATCAGGATATTTTTATACAAAACAAATCCCTCCCGAATATCCAAACCTTTCAGTTGTAGCAGCAACCTTACCTTGGAGGAGAAGGTTCCTGCTGCATGGTTCAGATTGGTTCGTGAAATGAGTTAATTGTGCATGAGGCTGCAAGGCATATGAGTAAGTTGCATAGGAAAATTAGGAACGAGGAGAAAGTGAATAAACTACAGTTTTTTTTTTATCTAGTGGTTATCCTAGTCCAGTCACAAAGGCAATGTAAAGCAAACCATTGAATTTTACACTTTGTTGGACTGATTTCCTCATTTACTTTGCTCAAAAGCTATGCTACATCTTGCAGAATGACAACAAGGATCATAAGCAAATTGGACTTGTTCATTATTAAGCCATTTGCATTTTGGTCACAAGAGAAACCATAACCTAATCAGTTAATATACACAGTTTCATAGAATTTAAGCTATACCAGATGAACCATACTTTAGACCACAGTTACTTCAGATCAATCCAGGAAATGAACAAAATACAGTACTGTGCTAATTCTGCAGTCCGTTTCACTTATTTTTCTTGTTATTCCGTGTGTATGAAATTAGAAAATTTAAACTTATTTTTATATTCAAAAAATCACTAAAAATCACGGGCATTTGGTTCTTGTTCTGCATGGACTTACTCCAGATCATATTTAGAATATTAAATATTAATAAAAATAAATGGAATTCCTTGATGAGAGTTAAAATGCCTGTGAAATCAACACTTTGTCCTCGAGGATCCCGATTGATGTTACATATTCAATACATAATATACTGTGCTACAAGATACGATAAAGTTTGGTGGGTTAGGATGGTGCTGTAAATAGCAAAGCAATCGCAACACTAAATGGTTTGAAGCAAATTTAGTGCTTGATTTGCAAAATGGACTGGTATTTCTGAAGGTTTTCTGCATTGCAGACAATATTTAGAGACATCAGTTCCTTCTTTTCAATCAGGGACGAAATGAAATCTCTGCAGGAAGCCCTTCAAAAGCAGGTCAATGAAGCGGCGTTGAAAGCAGAAAAGCAGCAGGCCGGGGTAAGCTATCCAAGACATAATGCTTATATTCATTTTCTGGCTCCGTTGCACTAAAGAGATAAAAACTGCAGCATCGTAAAACTTGCTTTCAGGCTTTTTTTAAAAAGAAAAAAAATCAACTTGTTTGTTCTGCTCAATGCTGCAGTGTTGTTTTGCTATGTAACCTCAGTGTTATTGGTCTGGTCCCATTACAGATAAACTTCTTGAAAGCAGAAGTGGAAAGGAAGAGCAAACTGATAAAAGATTTACAGCAAGAGGTAAGAATGTGATTATCTCTGCGAGACTACCTGAGGGTTTAGGCAAAAAAGATAAGCACTCGACAGATAAGCCTTTAGAATGTCATATAAGTGTGGATTCCCATGTTGTGTGCCACGATTGGAGCTCGTATTGTGATGAATTTAGAACAAATCATGCTGTGCCTTCTCTAGTGTTGCATCGCAAAGTGTCATTTAGTTGTCATCAGCCTGGCTCAGTCGGTGGCACTCTCACCCCTGAATCAGAAGGCTGTGAGCTTCAGCCCCTTGTCAGGACTTTGAACTCACAAGTCTAGGCTGACACACACCTGTATACGAGGGATTAATTGCATTATTGGAGTAGCAGTCCTTAAGATGAAGCATTAAGTCAAGATATCCTCCTGAGCAGGTGGATGTTCAGGAAGATCCTATGACACTGTTCAAAAAGAGGAGGGAGTTTCTCCTGGTTTCCTGGTCAACAATCTCCCAAATAAAATGAATTACTCAAATCATGGCTGTTTGGTGCTGACAACATTTTTTAAAAACCATTTAGGGATCGAAGTTCAGTGTAGTACATTAATTATGTAAATTAAGGTCATACACTTACCACGATGATAAAAACACACATTTCAGCATTATTTGGAGAATGAATTGTTTAAGGTAGTCAGAGGAAGGAATGACCAAATTGAAGAAAAGGCACTCCAGATAAACCTTCCCTGTTAGGTGTGAATACAAGTGGAACTCGCTAACATATCTCTTGCAGGGCCTTAGCCACAACAACGATAATATATTTTCCACAGAACCTTTCTGAGCAAGGTTGCTTTAATTAGAGTTGAATTATAGGCTGTCTGCGGATGCAGATATGTCCACGGAAACCAGCTTACAATTCCCTAAATTAAATTTCCTCATTGGCCATTAAGAGCCTTTAGAGATTGGAGAAGTGTCCTACCTGACTGGATTCGAACCTATGTCCCACGGGGATACTCATTCTTTAAATTAACTCCAATGATAAAAAGGAGTTGCTTGACGTTCAATGTTAAATGTGGAAGATAATTGCTCCATATTACAACTATGCAATGACTCAACTGTTCACTTGTGATTGATGCCACTAAAAAAGACAACTTAGAGGACATTTTGGAACACTGAAGTCTTTGAGTACTTAAAACAGGCATTTTACCATCTGCTAAACTCGTAATGAATAGCACTTTCAGCTTAATGATAAAAAACACTATCCTAATGTTCGGAACCGGTCACGGTTTATGAGTATTGATGCAGTAGATATTTCAGATTAATGCTGTACCCGTGCCACCTTCTACAGAGAACAAAATATGTCTTAATCAAATAAATCATTGTCACAGTTAATTTTATGGTGAGAGCTTATAAATACAGAAAGCCAGCTGCAGAGACTGAAGTCAACAATTTGTCAAATTCTCCAAAGCTCTAAAATGTTACATACATAGAGTAAGTGTATCCAAAAAAGCCCAACTCCACACAAAAATCTGCAACCCTTTGGTTGAATCAACGCCCCAAGTGAGTCTGTCAGAGTCAGTCGAGGTATAAGTTTTAAAAGTGGTAATTCGCTTTCAAAGCTATTCTCAAACTTCACTTATTTAGCTATTATCTCCTATTAGATTGGTTCTATATCTATGAGCCTTGGGCTTGATTTTGGAGATTGGTCCTCAGTCTCTACTTCCTGACTCTTCTCTCACTAGATGTTGCATGTTGACTCTTTTCCTGGAATACTTTATACGAGGTGATAATCGTACGGTTTGCTTGAAACTTCTCTTGCTCTGAAATTCTCGTTTTCCGTTCACTCACCCCGCATGTTCTGGTTGGTTGTGTCAGCAAAGTGTTGCTATTGTGCCGTGATCGCCTGCACTCTGGCTAAGGATCTGTCCATCGTTCATTCACTCCATCAGGTTTTAAGATTGTTCAGATTAGACTGTTTTCTTCATGTTCCCGTTACGTTTGACCCATTTCAGTCGATTGAACCTCTTTTTCTGCCTCGCTGATCAGCACTTCATTTCTACACCTTGGATATATTTTGCTTTCTTCTTCTTCAACAAATTTACTTCTGCTTTGAGATTTTAAGGAACAATTTTTTTTTTTTGGCTGGTGGGGGGTGGGGGGGTCGGGAATGAAAAGTTGCAATGCAAATACACCTAAAATACTTTGTGGAGTCCTGTAGCTCAGTGGTTAGAGCACTCGCTTTGCAAGCGAGAGACCTGAGTTCAATTCCAGGCAGAGGGCGAAACCTTGGGCAAGTTTCCTTACTCCACACAGAGCCTAATTAAAATCCCTCCAAAAACCAAAAACAATAATGAATTGGTCATTTTCAATCCACGACTGTTTGTGGGACATTGCTGTGCGCAATTGGCTGCCGCGTTCGCCCACAAATATACAGTCAATTCACTTTACAGTGTGTTCTGTGAAGCGTTTTGGGACGTCCTCCCGACGTGAAAAGCGCTATATCAAATGCAAGGATTATTATTATTATTTTATTATTATTAAAATCAAAATCTTACGAATTGACAGTGAAAATGTAAATATGAATTCAAATGCAGGTCAACGATCTCATTTCAATATCACAATAATGTTTTCCTGTGTTTAGCTAAAGTTGCGTTCATAAATAAAACATTTTTACTGGAGTAAACGATTTAAATTAAAGGCTGCATTTCAACAAAATCATAACTAACCCATCAAGTAAATGAACTTCACTTATAATTTGAAATATGACCCAACCGACTAGTGAGTAATTCTGAATATTCAAACAGGTCAAAGCGCGTGAGGTAGAGAATCACCTTTAATCTGCACTGCCAACACACGTTTCCTTTATTACCCATTTACACTTGATTTGATGGAGAAATTAATGCACTGCCACCACAAATCAAAGCTTTTGCATTTTACAAACTCCATAAATTTTGCCCTTCAAAGCCATTCTGAAGGACCACCACTTCAGGGTAGATTTCGAGGTTAAACAAATTACGAGGCAACAATGTGTAAGTCAGCAGCAAATTCCTACTGGAGTCAGTCTCCTCGTTACCATAGTGACATCGTCGTAAAGGAAGATGTCGTACGCAAACAACATAGCAATGGGCACGTGCAGGTTTTCAGGGGAGTTGCCACTGACAGTAAACAGGACCTCTCTCTCTCTCTCTCTCTCTCTCCCCTGAATTCAGATTTAATTCAAATACCAGATCATCTCATCTCTTTGATTATGTTTTGAATTTTTATTTCTATCTACTTTGTGATTCAGATGGTCGTAAAGGGACTGTATGGTTGGTGCTGTTTCAGAGAAACGTGGGTCCATTTCCTGGTTTCTGTTCCCTTCCAAATCCAAAATTTACCCGCGTAATGATATAATGAGGCTACTTATCCCATCATTGTGCAGGGGACATTGCAGGCATAGAGTCGAGTAGTTTCTGTGTTTACCTTTATAACAGTCACTTAATTTCCAATCTATTATATTTTGAAAAGCACATCAAGGTGTTTTCTTCAATCCGAGATGCCATCCCATATGAAGGGAGCTATATAAATTCTAGCTATTATTTAATTTTCACATCGACTTTCCATTTAATCATCCAGATTCCCAGACAATCACATTTCACTGCTTCTTGAAGTAGTTAATGCTTCCCCCCAAAAAAAAAATTGTTTTAATTTGCGGAAGAGTGAGAGACTTGATAGATGAAAGACATCAAGATCATTTGGAAGTCAACGTTTCATTATTGGGGGAATCAAAAAATCCCTTTCAGAATTGTTGACCCATTGATTCAGATGAGGAGGCAATGCATCTAGAATTATGAAAGAGGTCTCAATTAATAATATTGGACATGATTGATGCCTCTGGGCCAGTCAGAAAGTCAAATGTTTATTAATGTAACCATTAATTAAAGTCAAGCAGACCTTTTAAGCAATATCTTCACCAAATGGTTAGCATTCGCTATCTTGCTTGCCACAGAGCAACACCAAGTTAGCAAAGCGATGTTGAAATATCTGTCCTTGCATATTTGAACAATTCAATTTTTTTAACCAATGAAACAATTCTCTTGTGCAGAATAAAAGCCTGAAAAACAAACTGCTATCCGGAAACAAGCAATGTGGGATTCATGCAGAAGAGGTACGATTAATTTAAGACGATTTTCTGGATACACTTGAATAAGTTAAAAGTATCTTTTGGCATTTTAATGAGTGCTGATACCTTCCATCCCTTCTTATCTTCCTCATGCAGTCCAAAAAAATCCAGTCGCAGCTTAAGGAGCTACGCTATGGGAAAAAGGATTTGATATTTAAGGTGAGACTATGATTATTTCAGAAAGCACGATTTGCATAGGTAATGTGCAAGTCCATGATAAGACTTCTCAATTAGTTTTACATACATGCTCTGAAACGCCGCAGAGTCTGATAGATTCAATCCTTTTCCAGGAATCTGGACGAATGCTTATGAGTTATAGCAGCAAATTGCAACTGATCATAATGAAATCAACTGGCTGCCATTTCTGGAGGAATTCAGCTTGCCAGCTGATGCTCCAGACAGAGCTTCTATTTTAAATACAGTCATTACTTATAAAACCCCAGTTAACTTGTTCAAACCCTGGTGTTGTACTTCACAATAAATCCAATTAACTGATTAGGAGGCATCAAAACAGTAAATATTGAACTGAGAGTTATGAATAGTTGCCTCTGATGGCATAAGGGATGAACTAGCTATAAATGTTTCAGTAACAGAGACATTATAAGAGGGAGACTTTTTAAAGTTTCAGACTGAGTGCAACAAACCTGAGTGCGAATAATCTACCTCTTGGGTGAAGTTACTGCATACATGAGGAAATTTAGGGAGAAAGGTAGAAAATACTAAATGCATATAAGTATCAGAAACCCCAGATATACATTGAGCCAGACTGATAATTGATGTAAAGGGATGAACATTTTGCCTCTGGAAAGCATGAGCAGAGTAGTAGATCACAATAATGATATTAATAATCCTTGCATTTAATTATAGTGCCTTATCACATCATCAAAATATCTGAGTGCTCTGCACAGGATTTACTGTGCACTTGAGTGACTAGTTTTTAGGCAAATACAACAATCAATTTGCGCACAGCAATGTCCCACAAACAGCTATGAAGTGAATGACCAAATTTTATCTGAGGGATTATAATTTAAGTGAAACAGAAGTGATTGGTGGATTACTCCTCTTTAAACGTAGGGGAGGAAATAAAGCTAAAATACAGGGGAAATGAAATGACCTTAGCATCCCATAGTCAACGCCAGTCTGCATTTCATTACAGAAGGTTTTGACTAAACAACTGTGTGTTCCATGACTACAGAATACCACATCCTATACTGTGTTCGTCTTTCTCAAGAATATTAAAATTGGAATTGATTAATTCCTTGATTTATGTTTCTTATAGAGGCAAACAAGATAAATGCTGGAATTGCGAGACTCCAAAACTTATATTGTTTTTCAATTTCACAGTCAACTGATTCAGCAGGAAATTTATGACCAAATTTATACAAAATATTAAACTTTGCATTTGCATCCTACCTTTTCACATCAGGGGGCATCTTAATGTCATAGAACTGATGGGAAACCTTGTTTGATTTTGTCAGGGATACATTTTCACTGATACATAGACACTTCCTCTGTGGCGCCACAAACATCATTGAGCTTAGTTTCTACTAAACGTCCATCAGATCTGTCTCAAAGCTTGTCCACTGCACCCAGCATATGAATCTGCCAGTGGCAATTTGTGGCAAGGATTAGGATAGATTCATAAAAATTACAGTACAGCCAGGACCATTTGACCTAATGGCCCAATGTTGATGTTAGCTCCTTCTCCAGAGCTATATAATCTAATCTCAAATGCCTATTGTATCCCCAAACCCTTTTTATATAGATTCTTCTAAAATATTGTGTTGACGATTGTTCCATTCCCCTGAGCCATTCATTTGCTGCTGCTCTGAGCCAAAGTTTGTTGAAGAGTATCTGTCTCAGAAACAATAGAAACTTACAGCAATGAGAAAAAGAGAATTTAAGAGGGAATTTAAAAACATAAGATTTTCAAAACATATAGAGAAATTATCTATCAGGGTCAGAGGCTGTATATGACATTATTGTGAGTTTCTGCAGAATTTTAGGCAAGAGGTGGCTGCAGGTTATAAAGACTATAATTTAAGCTTTTTTGTTTAATTCAATTTGGATAAAAAAAGTAATTCAGGAGGCACTTAGAAATTCACCACATCATTTCTTGCTCTTAAAATGTAACAGATGACAGAAATGCTGAAACATTATTTTAGAAGAAATAGGAAGTTGTGCCCCATTAATCCTGCAGACAGTAATGAATTAGCAAATGGATTAAGAATAAGGCATTATCTTTTTTTCTTTAAATTTTAATAGTAAGTCAGCTGAAATTCAAAGGCATTTTGATTTTTAAATTGGATTGTTCTACCCCTGACTGTAATGCTACAAAAATAGATATGAAAATTGGTAAATTTTATGGATTATGCAACCCCTAAATTATTATTAATTATTATATGTTGACAACGCTTGATATTAAATTTCCCAAGGAGCAAGTTTTCCCAATGTTTTCTTCAGTGCAAAAATCATGAGTCGATATTAAATCAAACGTGGAAAAAGAACTCTTTAGATCAAAATTCCAAGTGCATATTACACCTTAATTGAATACTATACTTGCACAATTTACATTCACTCAGAGCATTTCACATCAGAAGGATGTCTCAAAACACTTAACAGCACTGGCAGGGGACTCGAGCTGGGGGTGGGAGCAGGAAAGATGACTCAAAGTACAATCAGATCTTGAGATGTACCCTGATCGAGAGGATGGAGGGAGCAAATGCAATCTACGACCAGAACCTGCTACATTCGACTGGCAATTATACAAAAACAATATTTTGCAGTCTCTCTCTTTTGTCACTGTCTAGAATTGAAGTTCGTGTCTAGTTATGGTTACTCACAGGAACACAATATAGAGGCTGTGATGCTATAGACTCCACTACCTGTGAAATAATTAGACTGGTCAATCATTGTAGATTGAGCACTCGTGGTAAAAGTAAATACAGTAGAATATTAAGGGCATTTCTTCTTTGGAGATTTATTAAAGCTCAGCTGCAGATTTCCTACAACAAAACTGCTCAGGTACATTCACTCTTAGAAATGCTGCAAAGATACTCTATAGGTTTCATTCCATTATTCCAGCTAGGGATGCACTAGTTGTAGAAAATGTAAATCAGACAATCACACCGTGTATTTTTCTTTTTTAGATAGTAGAGAAGTCAATCCTGCCCACCCCCAACCAAAAAAAATTAAAGCCTCAGCATTCAATGCATGCATCTGTACGCGGGTGGAAAGCAAAGCTATTTCTTATGGGATGTGTCTCGATTTAGAGTTAAGTAGCAACAGCTTAAAAATCAATGGTTCTATCATAAAACACAATCAGTTCCATCTCCAACCTCCTGCAGCCTAAATTGGCACCTCCAGCAGCTCAAACAGTAGCGCATCTTAAATGTGCACAGTGACACTTTCCTGGTTTCGGGAAAAACAATCTCCTGGGGAAAAGGTTAAAGATAAGCCGTTTGTCTAAACATTAGCTTTGGAGAGATCAAGCACCAGAGAATAATTTGCTTCAGTTCTGTGTTTTCATTTAAATCTTTAGTGTGTCCAATTATTTTCTATTTGTTTTTCCCTATTGGCATTGCACTTATTGGGGCCAAAACAAGTACATTTACATACAAATATAACATTTCATAATTACTACATATTAGCCATAGTGCAAATTTGGAGGATTGTTTGCCATTCACGGGATAAAATAGGTAGGACCATTCCATAATTATGAGAGCTATTTGTCCTGGAGAATGGAATATTATTTGTTCGACATTCAGCGTCAGGTATAGCATGACAGATACTGAGTTTATCAAACAAAATGAAGCAGACATCAAGGGATTCAGCAACATTGCCTTTATTCTGCCAATGAATGCAATGTTGTACAAGAACAGATCCTCTACTTTGCTCAAGGCTGGCAACTAACTGGCAATGCTGCGTTTTTATTAAACTGATAATATGACTGTATAATAATCAACCGAGCAGAAGTAGAGATGCACTCCCTGCTCTGGCAATGTCCCTGGATTCTAATCTCAGAATATTGCCAATTTAGCACCAATTAGTACCACATTAGGTTTTTCGCTATGAACTCGTGTCCAATGGGGATTGGGACGATACTGCACAAAATTATGCCGTGCAGTACTTACAACCAGCAAAGAGAACAAGCTTTCATCACGCTAATAATCTGTGCTGGATTCGAACCCGAGTCTCGGAGGTACATAGGCAGTTTTCAAAACCATTAGGTTCATCAGTATCTCCTAGTTTGTTTTTTTATATGCAGCACATTTCAAATACATTTTTAATTCCATGTGTTATCTCTTAACGAGTTTAATTGCAGCTACAAAATTATGATCAAGATTTGATCCATAAGATATTATCAACGTTTCTCCACAAAAAGAGCTAAACGAAAACTGCACTCTATATTATTTACCAAGTGGGAAGTTAACAAATGTTAAACATTTTGTGGTGACAAAGTTTTACTTTTACGGATAGCTGACCGAACGACTTGAAAGATGGAATTATTTTAGTGCGGGAAGCCAGCTAGTTGATGTCAAGACTCTGTGCTTCCATTGATAGCTTGGGTGCACATCAGACCCACACTATCAGGGAAGCCCCACTCAATCATGTTGCTTTCTAATGGGGCTGCCCTGTAAATTCAATAATAATAATAAATAAATAATAAATAATCAGTGCATTACAAGGAGGATAAGTAAATTCAGTAAGCAAAGGCCATGTAATGATTATCAGTGCGTAAAAACTATACCATGCTGTAATAGGCAGACAGACTTTGAACTACTCTGGGCTGAAGTGAATATGTTGTTGCTGGTATACTGAAGTGCAATTTATTGAAGCTTTTTTTTCCTTTCCAGGCACAGCAATTGACTGATCTGGAACGCAAACTGTTAGCAGTGAAACAGGAATTGGAAAAGACAGCAGGAGATAAGGTGACAAAAGTTTATGAATGAGGACACTGAGTCAAGTTTTCAAACTCTGACAGTTGTGCATCCTTTATTATCTCCCTGACACTACTGTATGACATTTCCGCTTTTTCTAAGCTGTAACTAACATCCAATTACTTGATTTACCATATTTACTTGAATCTAAGGCTCCTCCAAATCTAAGGCAGAGAGAGATTTTAGCGGATTTGGGGAGGAGAAATAAAGGAACTTTACTACAATTTTAAGGCTTCGTTGGTTTCAAGGTACAGACCAATTTTGTATACTTTGTGAGTATATTCTGTGAAGCGCTTTGAGACATCTCAAAGACGTGATAAGGCACTATATCAAATGCAAGGATTATCATATATTATATTGTATAGTTGTGGATTTTTTTTGTCTCTCTTATCAGACAAATCCCACCTTCAGTGAGGCAGGATTCCAGCTTATACAGTACTACACATAGGAAAGAGAGCAAAAATATTTTTCAGTCTTGAAAAACGCCCTTTATTTTTATCTGGTGCAAGTTTTTGACCTTGAACCCTGACTATGACAAACACCTAAAGTTTGTTCAGTAGACAGTTGCTCACGGCTGTCGCTCTGTACAAGCACAGGGTTATGCTGCTCTCCCTGTCAGAAACCTACCAAGCAGCAAATGCAATCCAAGAATTTTTTTTCACCTTCTAGCATAAATCCTCCTTTGTGAATCATTGTTGACACCAATTTTGGTGGGAGGTTATTTCCAAAAGGCATTGCCAAATCTTATTTTGATGAATAATTTATAATAGAGAGGTTTCTGATCAGTCACAGTATTTGATAGATTCTGAGGTGGTTTTTGACTGTACCTCATACTAAAGTATCAGTCATTGATGAAGAAACATTAAGAAAGCTACTCCCAGTCAAGTAGTAATGCTGCTGATATCATTACCTCTACACCATTAATCAGAAAGACTCCTTAACATGCCATAGCACTACAGTGGAGGTAACCCATTGTGAATAAAATAAAGATAATACATGAATGGCATTTATCTACAATTTGTCAAAGGAACGGCAGATTGCTGCTGATGCACAATGACATTTTGTCCGGCAGTATCAATCACATCAGTCATCCAGATTAAGAATCCAACACGACTTGTGTACATTTCAAACAACTGATGAATCACACACTGGTAGTGGTGCTGCAGTGGTGGCAACATCAATTTATCTGACTAGCCTCCCTCTGGATTTGCCCTGTTTTACCATTCTACTTCTAAAGAGCTGGTTTATTATCCAACCTACTGTATAAACACTTAAAATAATGTTCTCTTCTACATTTCCTCTGCAATTTTGCACAGTTATGAACACGATAATGTGCATGAAACAGCTCTCATCTTATATCTTGTTTCACTGGAGAATAATTAACTAGCTATTCAGTGACCTTATTCTCCACCCATAACTTCAAAGATAGGGTTGGGTGGAATTGGTTTACAACAGTCAAATCTGATCCACATCCATCCCATTTCCATGAGCTATAACCTGTGTTGCGTTGCATTTAAACTAAGAGATACAACTGATCTCCTCACCATGCCATTATGTCCATTAAAAACAAAAAGACAGAAAAAACAGCCAGTGTAAAAATGGAATAGCATATCAACCCTGGTAGAGCCTTCAGACAAATGACTTAGCTTCTCTCAGGCTTATCTTTTTGGCTACTTTCCAACTAATAATCTAATGATCAAATCATGTCTCATTATATTCTAATTAACTGTAAGATAGCAGTTGTGAAACAAAAACACAGCATGACCCCATAAAATACCATCCAGCAAAATCAACCTATGGCATTACAAAAAGGGCCACAAACTTCCAGTTAACACAGAACCCCATATATAAATATATACAGGAGGTAATTGAAGCTTTCATGTGAATCCAACATGCAACATCTCCTGAGAAGGTCCACAACTATCAAAGCAGCAGAAATTTTACATCCACTTTCCCAAAGTTCAGGATGTTATTCGCTTCATATCCTTTCCAGTACAAATGCTCCACTGTCTTATGAATTGCCTATGGATGCATTTGCTTACATTCAATGCTTGATCATCTCAATTCTAAGATAAGAACTCCTGTTCGAATGCTGGATATTTATTGTATCTGCAACTTCAAATTGATCTGTCCTTTCCTCACTTGGAAGTGCTCAATCGACTGGTTACACTCTCGTTCACAGGAGACCTAACCAATGTTTGTGATGAAACTGCAAACATAACAGAATTGCAATTTGGTGCAGGTGATGGAAGCGGCAGATGTGATTTTTGACTTGTGGCTAAGCCAGAAATGTATCCGCAGAGAGAAAAAAAAGAACAATGTAAATAAGATGTCACTCCATTTTCAGAATCTTACAAAATTACAATGAAATACAAATGTACCCAGACAAACAATAAATATCAACGCAAAAATGAAAAAGAACAGGAAAACAAAATCTATTCCATTTATTCTGCTTCACCATTTAAATACGGTAAAGCAGAATGCGATGTACCCAAGCCTTCAAAAGGAATTCCCATTTCTACATCTGCATGAAACTCACAGAGTTTCAAATTTAAAACTATAGAGATTTTCCTTCTGGGTGTGAATACATCGTAGTCCTCGACTAGGTTGACTTCCAACAACATTTATTGAATACCATCGTATCCTTTCCTTTGATCTCTTTGATAGCATTGAGTTGTTTAGACATCCACCTCATTCCTTTGACAGCAGATATGGGATTTAAAGAAAAAGTGATCACCACTAAGCACTTTCATTTTGTGTGAGAGTGTTCACTGACTTTCTTCAATAAGTATCAACCTCCCACTGTTTGAACTGAAGTCAATCTCTGCACACTGTGATGTATGGCTTGTATCAAAAGATTTTCTCTATGTCACCAAAAGTTCTTAAGGTGCTGACACGTGTTGGGTTGACTTTGTTTTTGTATCACTGCGATACTGTCAAGATGTTTCGCTTCATGCCCTAGTCTGCAAATATAGGCAGTAATAATCAAAGGAATCAGATTAAATGGTTTGATGGGATTTAATCAGTATGTGATCTTCATTGTCTCAGGAGTCACAACTGGAGGCATTGAAGGAAGTGGCACAGCTCTGCGTGTCTGGAGTTCTGAAGAACCAGACTCCCTTCACGAGCATCATTCCCCCCAAAGCTGCTGAGAACAGAAAACTACTGCTCACTAAAAACAGCTCCAAGGTTCCATTTTATCCAACTGACAGAAAAGTAAGTGATCTAAGTCTCACACACTGTGGGTGACTGTATCAGCTGGAAAGTTTTTGATGTGTAGAAATGTTAGTATGCAGTGACTGCATGTCTTTCAACAGTATATTGCAGATAGCTACAATGCTGGACTTTAATTCCTTGGTTTCGTCGATTCAATGAATCGCGTTATTTAACAAAATAGGGAGGCAGGGGAGGAAAGAGAAAGGAAAGGTGCATCATGAATCTACATTTTAGATCATTAATAAAAAAAAACAGTGCTCACTAAAGCGATATAAAACTAATTGAAAAAACATCCATCTTCAGAATAAGGTCAAGCTTCCTTTTTCGAATAGTCAAAAGAATCAATTGTATTGATATTTGGGGTTATAAATGGGTGATGCATCCCCTTCAAGCTGACGGGGTTGATAATCATAATAATCAGTGGAGTGGTCAGTATTTGTCTTATTTCACCAGAGCTGTTTGCCAATATCGAACAAACAAACACTTCAGCTCGAGAAACATATTGCCCCCTTTCTGTTTATTGCACCAATTTTGAAGCTGTCGTGAAAAACAGAATGAAATCGAGCTGGGCATTTCTTTGTTCACTTTCTATTAAAAGCTTTGGTCGTGACAGGTTAACTTTTTTTAACCTTTCCTTTTTCCTGCGTCAGTTAGATCAAGGTCTCTCACTATGAGATGCAGCCCTCACCGGCAAAGGTGGGACACTGTCTTCACTACTAAATGGAGTAAATTGGAACAGCACAAGCAAAACAAAAGGGATAAATCTGTACGTCTCAGCCCAGCAAATGGTGTTCTTGGTTGGCTTATGGACTGAATCTGTCTGATGTTTGCTCCTGTCTGGGGTGGGGAGTGGGAGCAATGAACTCAGTAAAGAGATTTTGTTGATCGCATTGGCAGTCTTAGGCAATTTAAAAAATTGAAACTGCAGTATTTTCTTAAAGTGAGCTGATATTGCTTGCTCGTCATAATTCTTGTGCATTCCTGTTCCCTCTGGTTTTGCCACTAGAGTCTTACATATTCAATATGGGGGCAATATGCTTACTCAACATGATTTTCCAATACAGCATCCAGAATAATTTTCTTTCTGCCCTGTACCATGTGCAGTAACTGAATCAGTTCCCTGCACTCCCTTCAATCCAGAACTTGGCTCCTGAGATTAAGCAGAAATTGTTTCAATTTAAAACCAAAGCAACCACTTGAAAAATAATGGTGTACTAAACCTCCTGTGGAAACCATTAACATTCAGACATTTTATGTGGACCTAAGGAGAATATATTTTACACAACAAAAAGGAAATCATGTGGCTCACTGAGCCACCCATTGAAAACTGTCACCTTGGATATATCAGGCTTCCAAAAATGTCAACGTAACATCAGCTTTGACTAATTTTTGGAGGGCATAAAGAGAAATCTGTTCTCATTTTGTCTGCACTCTCAACCTCATTTGGTGTAAAGTGCAGGTTTTTTTTATTTGTTAAAAGTTTAATTAATTTTGATGGAACATAATTTCAGTGAGAAAGTAATGGCTGGGAATTTCATTACTACAGCGAGCTGGATGCTTGCCAAACTTTAGCACAGATCTAGCTATGCTTCTCACACTGCGCACTCCCCTCTTCCGTGAGAATGTTACTGGCTGCAGCCTAATCAGAGGTGCATCAAGGCACATTCATTCCACGGTTTCCTCATTGGACTTCAAACATTAGAATCTGTTTGATGGGCTATTGTTCCTGCAATGTAAACTCAGCTGTAGGCACAAAATAAATGCAGACACTTCAGCAATATTACAAAACCTCGGCAAACTTCACAGCCTGGAGGTCCATAGGGCTTTGTTTCAAGGAGCATTACTGCTTGGGAGGGAAATTATTTTGTAGCAGACAAACAGTTTAAGTTCCATCTTTTTTTTATTGGGATAATAAATAACACAACACTGGAGCTAAACTATAAATGGGATACACCAAATAACTAAACGAGCACATGATAGAGGTTTTGACTATAATGCGTTAGCACACTGAAGTTTGCTTCGGTTAGAAATCCAGTAGGAATTCGGCAAATCTACATTTGCGTTCAGTGGGATTTGGGCCTTTCCAATAGGATCTATAGTTTAATTTCTAGGATTTCATATACAAACAAGTCTGGCTTATGCTCTAGAAAGCACCTTTGGGCAGCTTTTTTTAAGGTGTATAAAGTGGTGACGTCTTAGTATTTACTTCAGTGATTCATTGGGAGACATTAGCTTGAATTCACCTCAGTGTGATTGACTGCAGCAAATTTGCACATCCTCAATTTCTGCCTCATCAAATAATAAAATGACAGCCTCACCACCCAAGGGTAAAGTGAGTGTGCAGCTGCATATGACATTTTAAATGAAAAGAGAAAAAAATGTGTTGCATATATGGATGAGATGTTAAAAGAGACTCTTGTATTGTTTTCTTCAAGGATGTCTTTTTTTTTACTGCACTGACCGCTGACTTTATTGCACGAAAATATGTTGGCTGTATACTTTTCACAAGTTGTATTACCAGTACAACATGCAGCCTAGCATGCTGCAACTGTGACCTATCTCAAGAGGGAGTGAGAAGTCAATGGCAGTGCCAACTACACAGCCATGGAGGACTCCAGTGACATAATTAATGGATGGTAGTGCTGTTTATATGCCAAGTTAGATTCAATTATATTCTTGTTTGGTTCGAAATGTCAAATTAGTGGCAATGGATGACAAACAAAATTGGATTTGATACGCACTGTGCAGTTTCTTTCTGATTCTCCCACTCCCCCCAGCTCCAGTGCCTGAAATCATTCACTAGAATGGAGTTATAAATCTTTTTGTGTGAAGACAAGGAATCTAATAATAATACTGAAATGGCACAATTAATAATGCACAGGGAATCGTGAACTCATGCATTTTCCCAAATGTGCACATTTGAATTTTCCCTCAATTTTTCTTTCTTTAATGTCACCTCCATTTGCTTTTATAAGGAACAATTTGCTCATGGGTGGGAGTTGGGGGTGGGGGTGGGGAGTCAAACCCACCCGAGCATGGTTGGCTCAGTCAGGACAAGAAGCAACTAGAATTCAATCACCTCGGTTCAGATTTCCTGTGAAAAGGCAATTTTCTCTGTTGAACGAGAATTCCGAACCGCACACCAAACAGATCTGGAGCTGAGCCAAGGTGTCAGCTACACTAGTGGCATTTTGAGTGGCTCAAACTCAGCACTAATTTCCAAGTAGTAGGTCACTGCAGATCAAACTCACCCACATACAGATCATTGTATCGTCCCTCATTATACTCAGGCTTCCTTCTCACCACTCGTATAAATTGTCAAGAAATTAGTCATCACACTAACTGAATTTGGCCAGTTGAGTCTTTCAATCAAACTGTATGTCCTCAGTTCCAATCAATTGAGGAGTAACAAATGATTACCTCCATTTGCTTACATTTTTTTTCAGGACTGAAATTTGACAACTACTTTATTTCAGATCAGCGTTGCAGTTTAAGAGGCCACGATGTAGAAAATGTTGCTGTATTAACCTTTTCACCAGCACGGACATATAATAACAGGAGTTAGGTTTCAACTAGATGCAGTCAGGTCAACTTTTCCACAGCATTAACCCAATGTCAAGCAATGTTACAATCCAGCAAATAATAAAAAAAATTAAATAAGAAGAAGCCAGTGTTAAACCAAGATCAAAACGAGACAGATTTAGATAGGGTTTCTGCTACTTTAGTGATTTTGACATTTCTACAGAACTGGTTTAAAAAACCTAATGACCGAGGCTCTGGCTGTTGTTGCATTGCATTGCATTGAACAACCAACCAAGGTACCTCAGAAACCCCCAGCTGTCCTGTAGGTGATCATTCAGCTTACACGTCCTCAATCACAACTTGTGAACGTTGCAGGTTTTTAAAAGTATAATTGAATATTTTGTGTCTCAAGTAAAAATAGCATTGCTTCCACTGGAGAGCCCCAGCCCAACCCCCCACCCAACACAACCAAAACAATATGGCTGTTCCATCATCTTGATAAAGGTTAGAATGGTTGGTTTGAATCTCTGCTCACTATACTGGAGTGCAAGGCACCTCTCTAGCTGACAATGTAACTGTAGCTGACGCTCAAAATAATTGTTTCAGAGAAGAAAGTAAAGGCACATAGCACACTTTGCCCTGTTATCTGAAGCGGGGGAATGAGCCTTTATCTAATGAAAACCACCTGTTCAGGACCGCATTTTCTTTATCAAGTTCATTTCACTACACATAGGACTCGGCTATTTTTTTGGCAGAGTTCCTGCTTACAAAAGGCAGCCCGAAATTAATGCTTTGGGTTGAAGTTAATGGTTTAAAATCTTTAAAGTGAGTTGTTTTTTTTAAAGGAAATTCTGCTGCAAACGCACCTAGCAATTTAGAGAACTAGCAATTTACAATAAAGGAATTCTCGAAAGACAGAAAAGGGTTCATGTAAAAGTCATCAAATGTATATCATTGCGAGACACACCACTGTGCTGTGCTTGAAAGAGAAGGTAATTTTAGTTGTTGTTTAAATGTTGATATTTTGTAAACTTACTCTTTCAAAAAATGTATTTTAATTTTTTGGGGCCAGAGTTTCTTGCTCTGGGGCAAGAGCGGGGGAGTCAAACTAGTTGGATAACTCTTCCAAAGAGTCAGCACAGGCACGATGGGTCGAATGGCCTCCTTCCGTGCTGTAAGATTCTATGATTCTATGAAATGGGTCGTGATTCTTTTTTGCAGCACAAAATTTTCTGCATTTAAATAAGACACAAAATGTTTGTAATTTAACATGTGCATAATGTATTAGTTCCTGATTTGAATGCTCGTGTGAAGAATCACTCAAACTCATTTCAATTGCTGAAGTATTTTGAACAAGTATTGCAGGTGCAGAAGCACCATTATTCTGAAGTGACTACAGATTGCCTCGTTGGCACAAATGGAAATACTAGTGTATTTATTTATAATGATACAGGTCATAAGAATAATCCTTGGATTTGGTACAGCAAATCTAATGATGAGAACAACTCAAAGTGTTTCACAAATGTTCTGTACAGTGAATTGACTATATATTCATACGCCAAAACACAGCAGCCAATTTGCACACAGCAATATCCCACAAACAGCCTGTGATTGCTTGCGTGACCAGTTGGAGATTGTTGGCCAGTTGATCAAGCGCATTGAGATGTCCTCCCGACATGAAAGGCACTATATAAATATAAATTTTATTGTGTAACTCGCTTTCCTTTTCAAATAGTGCCATGGAATATAATGTCTCCGAACAGACATACAGACATTGGCTTAATGTGGAGTCCTGTAGCTCAATGGTTAGAGCACTCGCTTTGCAAGCAAGAGACCTGAGTTCAATTCCAGGCAGGGCGAGACCTTGGGCAAGTTTCCTTAGTCCACATGCCTAATAATAATCCCTCCAAAACCAAAAACAATAATAAGTTGGTCATTTTCAATCTACGACTGTTTGTGGGACATTGCTGTGCGCAATTGCTGCCGCGGTCGCCCACAAAAAATATACAGTCAATTCACTTTACAGTGTGTTCTGTGAAGCGCTTTGGGACGTCCTCCCGACGTGTAAAGCGCTATATCAAATGCAAGGGTTATTATTATTATTATAACACCTCATCTGAAAGATAGCGAGCAGCTACAGGAAGTGGGAGGGCGGGAGAAATGAAAATTCAGGGTCACGACCGACTCTGTGGTGAATTCTGGGGTGGTGGGGAGTTAGGGGGTTAACATTTACTTGGCTCACTGAAACACAGGACATTTCGAAATTTAAAACCCAGCCTAGAACATAGTCAGGTATAACTTTTCCCATTTTTCTCTTGTCATTACTTCGCACACATCCAATTCCCTTTTGAAATAAAGCCTTCTGAAACAACGCTCAAGTTAACCAATTCCCAAGAATTCTCATATACTGGTGTCGTGTGACTGAACCATTAACAACTGAAACCCTCAACTCTGGCAAAAATCACCAGAAAGTAAATGAAACCTCAAATTCTTGTTTTTTTGTTCAAGGTTTCATGCAATGCAAATGTGACATTTTACTGGAGCGTTTTAATTTGTGCGTTATGAAAAAGTATTAAATCAGAGGTTTGAAACCTAGCCACTGAAGCAGCTGCATCTCCCTGAAGGTTAAACTATATCTTATCAAACATGACAGAATCGTGGGCATACATTTAGTCAGGCACACATATTCTTGAAATAAACCACTTTTTTTTNAATATGAAAATGAATAGTCCACCTTGGTAGAATTGTTCCAGGACTGACTATACCCAAAGGAATTAAATAATCCTTTCATCCAAGCAAGTGTTTAATGAAAAATAGCAGTGTAAAAATGTGAATTGCACTTGAATAAATAGCACTGAAAAGCATTGTTTTCCAGGCATGAAAATATAGTGCCAGTGCAACTTTATCATTCGAGTAACTTGCCTGGTTGAATGGGTTTTGTCTCCCTCAAGCTAATAGCAGCTTACCTGTCCTGTCTGCCTTTCTGAGGAATTGCTGGAACAAAATTCTGGTTGTTGCTTCTTGTGACTCACACGCCCACCGCATATTATCCTGGCAATGGGAGCAGCAGTTTGCAGTGTGGAATAATGACTCCATCAAAATGCAAGAGATCAAATGGTGAAGCTTTGTAATTATTATACCGCTTGTCTTCTTTTTAACCATGAATGTAAAACTACTATATGTAACTATTTTAAAAAATATATTAAATGTGAAAATACATATATACAGTGTATATATTTCCACATTTAACACCACTATACATCATTATTATTCGTAACATAATCATCTCAACCCAGAAACAAAATTCAGATATACCCACCATAATGAGAGATCACTAAACCTCATCGATCTGGTACCCAGCCCTGCCTTCGATGTATATTAAAAACTATTTATAAGACTTCTCTTTTTAAAAAAAATCAATTTTATTGAGCGGATGTCTTCTAAATATTTTCAGCACTGCATTTGGAATTAGGGCTTCAAGCAATTATTTTTAATCACATCATGCGGTTCTTAGAGCTTCAGTGTCACTTGCATTTTCATTAGGAAAAGGCACATGATTTATTAAGTCACTGAAAGACTAGAGGTTAGTACTTAAAAACATTCATCTTGGTTTCCGTTTTAGTTCCTCTTGCTTCAGATACCTTGGTGTAATAGTGTCTCTAAGTAATAGAAAATAAACCAGGTGGCTCAGTTAACAAAACGTTCACCTCTGGAAGAGAAAATTCTGGATTCCCAGTCTCGGTTTGAATTTATAATCCAGACTGACACTCCAGTAACTGGTTTGCTGCTGCATTGATAAAGGGGCTGTCCTTCAGGTGAGACATTAAGCCAAAGACCCAGGCATCTGTTTCGATGGGTATTGAAGACCTTACAACACTATCCATCCTTTGAATGAGACGTTAAGTCGAGGTCCAGTCTGCCTGTTCAGATGGATGTTAAAGATCCCATGGCAATATTCAAAAAAAAAGGGAGTTTCTCCTGATGTTCTGGCCAACAATCACCAAAATAAAATTGGCCACTCACTCCATGGCTATTTGTGGGACACTGTTGCAACTGGCTGCCACTTTTCACCCCCAAAATACACAGACAATCCACTTTACAGTATATCCTGTGAAGCCCTTTGAGACAGCTCAAAACACGTTAAGGCACTTTACCAAATGCAAGGATCATTACTATTTTTACACAAAAAGAAGGGAGTTTCTCCAGTGTCCAGCCCAACAGTCCTCTAAAATAAAAAATGATTTCGCTTAATATCATTCATCATACCGTATCATAGATCATTCACTTCGTATTGTGGGAACTTACACTGTGCAAAACAGTCAATACACTTGACGGCAATTACCTGCAAAGTGCATTCTGATGTTTTAAACATTATAATAGTAATAATAATCCTTACAATTGATATAGTGCTTTTCACGTCTTCCAGATGTCTCAAAGCGCTTCACAGAATAGACTGCAAAGTGAATTGACTGTATATTTGTGGGCAAAATATATAGGTGAAATGTCAAATGCAAAGATGATAATTATCTCAACTTTTTTTCAGCAAATAATGTTCTCCTGCGTTGATGGACATCACTTTCTGTGCTCCTGCCATCTACCTACCTATAAAACAATAACTCTATTGCAAACCATTTTATCTCCAGAGAATTTAGAGAGGCCATCGACTGAACTGGTAGTGCTCAAAGGCTGGATCTTATCAAGAGGAATAAATCTTGTACATTTCATATTTGATGGTTTCGTCTCACACATTAGTCCAGGCAGCATAAAGCAATACTGCAGCTTTATAAAGGCCTGGCAGCTGTTGGTTTTATAGCTCTAACCTTTAAATGTGGAAACTGGTTTGATCACAGAACAGTAATTCCTGACAAATGATCCATTTCTGTCCGTTTTTCAATTTCATGGCAGCATAAATAATAGCATCTGGTAAGGTGGCATCATTTTTTAAATGAGCATTTTGTTGCTCGTGGCGCTCAGTTACAAGTTCTGCAAAGTTTTCCTGCAGGTTTCTCATATAAATGCAGGTCTCATCTGCTTCGCTGTTGTACGTGTGCATAAACCTTAACATTTTTTCAAAAAAAATTGGTTTGCTTAGCAACTGGTTCAAAGCAAATGATCGTGTTGCTGAAATGTTTGGAGCGAGGCAGCTTAATCACATTTTTTGGCAGAACGTGCGATACTATAAAGTCTATAAAAACACAAATACAAATATTTTGTCTTTCTACAAAACTCATTCTAATCTCTCATTTTCCCCACCACAAATAGGTCGCTTGATGTTAGTGTATCACTATGAAAGACAAACTTTGCTTTCTTCACATCATATCTTTCAGCTCCAGGACATCTCCCAGACTGGAAAGAAAGGAAGTACCCTTAATGAGGATCAGAAGAAGAATGATCACAACTTAATGGAATGTGATTCTCAAAATGTAAGATCAACACACTGGAATTTCGATTCCAGAATGGCACTACCGTTTAACTCCGAGTTATGTTTACAGATCATATTTTTTTTAATCATTCAGTGAAATAACAATAACGACAATAATGACGACTTGCATTTATAAAGTGAACTTCATGTAGGTGAACGTCGGAGTGGTTTACAAGGACAGGGTTGGGTCCTGAGCAAGGTAGAGGGGAAGGGGGAGAGGGAGGTTTTAAGGTAGGATTTAAAGAAAGAGAGAGAGGGGAGCTTGATGGAATGAGTTCCAGAAGTAATAAAGGAACAGAAATGCAATTTGCATTTTCCTAGGTTTTGTATGGCATAACTAGCCCAAGGGTGTATCTTGTGTGAACAGGATTGGAGATTAGCTGGTTATAATGATCAAGCATTAGTGTCAGATTTGTTTTACTATAAAAAGCCCAGCCAGTGTTTTCCTAAATTGGCATCAAATCCACAGGGTGAAAAATTAGACCTGTGTTGTGCTAATTATTCCCAGTGATATCACATCATCAAAACTCCAGCTCTGTCAGTATCTCATTTGGTGCCACCCTACCCCACCTCTTTCTACTGCAATTGAAGTTTTTATTGTTTCAATCCAGAGCTGGCTCCCAGGCCACCAGTTTGACTCAGTTCTAGACAGTGAAAATTGTTCAGGTTTGCTGCACGTAGAAATGATGAAACTTAACCGAAGGAGGTGTGAAAATGATAATTTATGATTAATTTTACTGAATGATGTGATCCAAATACACCTCTATAATAATAAAATAAATAATAATCCTTGCATTTGATATAGCGCCTTATCACATCTTCGAGACGTCTCAAAGCGCTTCACAGAATAAACTGTAAAGTGAATTAACTGTATACTTTGCGGGCGAAATGCGGCAGCCAATTGCACACAGCAGAGTCCCACAAACAGTCATAGATTGAGTGACCAATTTATTATAATATTTTTTTGAAAAAATTATTACCCTCAGAAAAGTGATCTGCCAATCGACTAACAACTGGGTTCCTACTTACTGCTAGGTAAACAGAGGTGTGTGGAGTAAGGAATCTTGCCCAACGTTTCGCCCTGCCAGGAACTGAACCCTGATCTCTCGCTTGCGAGGCGAGTGCTCTATTCACTGAGCTACAGGACTCCACAGCATTCCATTTGTACATGTTTACTGAAGAGAAATCATAAGCCTCAAAGTAATCAATTTAATATGATTATAACCCTGACATAACAGCCAGAATTAATGGTGTGTGAAAAAAACACTCCTTGTGCAGCACTTATTTTCACGTCCTTCAAATTGCAGTTAACCTAAAGAGACAAACTGATTATAAGGTGTTTGAATGCCTGGCGGTGTTGTAAGAATAAATGACAGTAAGCAAGCAGAGAGATTAAAATGGTGGCAGTGACAGATCAGGAATCAATCAGCATCCGTTGATAGTAATTGGAACTTCAGCTAAGATATGAGAGTTGTCACAGTAAGATTCTCTTTGCCTCCTGCCAGAGTAGCTATTTGCACTGTTGGTCCTTGACAGAGAGTGTCAGTGCATAATTTGAGGATGGATCTCAACTTGGGGAGGTAACACACTTGCCATTGGGGATAACCACTCAAGCTGTAGTCCACTGCTGGAACCTGTGGTTGAAGCAAATAGCATTACAGCTATTTAAGAAAACACAAAGGAGAAGGGAATAGAGGGAAATAGGAGAGATGGAGTCTCATGTGGCATCTCAGCACTAGCATGGACCAGTTGGTCTGAATGTTTTTTTGCAACTCCATGTGTAACATTCTTTGAGTCACTGCTGAAACCAGAGGGTCCCAGACACACCAAAAGCGATGTTTTTTATAAATATACTATGTCCCAAGGCTCTGGAACTCTCTTCTTCACTCCCTCATCTCGGTCCCTCCCTTCCCATTTTCAGGTCTCTGCTGAAGACCTTTCTTTTCGACTGCGCCCTTGGTCACCTTCCCCCCCCCCACTGGCTCAGTCCCGGGATCCGTTACTGTAAAGCACTCAGAGACGCCGTCCGGCGTGGAGGGCACTATATAAATCCAAGTTGTTGTTGTTGTTGGTTTCTGAGGTTGTGTTGGGACAAACATCTCGTGTTAACAGTAACTGGGCTGCTGTCAAAGGCGGTCATAGCTCAGCTATCTCACACAGAGCAGAGAGAGTGCTCTCTGGAGGTAGAACAGCAAAACTATGTTTTTCTCTCTTGTTTGGTTGCTGGGGAAACCGTAATGTAAATGGGGCAGTTACCATAGCAGTGGGAGTCCGAGGAAACCTGTGGAGCCACATCTTCAAGTGGTGGAGCAATGTGAAAGCAGGATTGATCTCAAAGAACTGATAGCGCTAGTCAACCTCCAGGATGCACGATAGTGTGATTGAAACAACAAAAACAACAAAGCTGTTGATGTTTTTGTTTGTTATTGAAGCTACAGATATTGAACCCATGTAACCAACCTGACATTGCAGTAATACTTGCGCCTCTTTCAAGCAAGCACATTTCATGTAATATTAGATTTAAATGACAGCAAGAACAATTAGACGGGAATGATTATCTAATGAACCGTACCCCAGTACTCACAAATGTACAGTGTGGCAAAAGGTTGACAAGCGAGTCTGCAAAGTACTTACAAGTTAGCACATTAAGTTGAATTGTTCCTCCTGGCTAGTTTCTAGCCATCAAATGTACACTGGCAGAAGTACTGATATTCACAATAAAAGCTCCAGCGTAATGGAGATCAGAATGACACGGGTTTTAAAAGGAGTTTAAAATCATTACACTAGTTGAAAAATCTTACTTTTTTAATTCAAGATTTACTATATGCAATAGAAAAAAGTTATTTTGCTCATCTTTTCACAAGATTTCATATGTTTTTATTGTGTTCGGGCTTCAGGTAATGGTCTCTGCATTTAAATTTCCCCATTGCTTGTACTATCACCAGCCTATCTAAAATGATAGAAATGGAGGGCTATTCTCTACCCTCAATTTCCTAACCTTCCCCAACCACCCCCTTCTCAGAAATGATCACTCAAGATCCAGTACACCTAAACCAAAGGTTATCCGGTGAGCCACAAAGCCTCACACACCATCAGCAATTTTTGCATTCCAGGTTAATTCGTATTGTTTGCTAGCAAATAAAGCTGCTTCTTAGAGCTCATTAGAATAGTGAAGCAAGGAGGTACAAGGGTGCTTCTAATTGTCTTTTAGGTTTCTCTTTCCAATGACTGGCTTAATGGAAATGAATGTTTCTTGAGCAGAATACAAATTGAATTATTAAGGCACCCATTTCCCAGCAGTTTAATTCAATATTGGTCTGAGAATTAAAATCAATTCAATGCAAGCTGTTAAAAAAACGTACACGAGAGTAGGGCAAAGGCTGTTGCTGAGTTCAGTATCAAAGCAATTGGCTGGGAAATGTGCAACACTTATGACTTAAGCAGATAATGTTATTCCTGATATAAAGAGTTTTTAATTCTTACAACTCTTTTGAGGGGAAATAAAAATCATTGTTATATAAATACGGTCTAATCTTTACTGAGCTGCGGAAGAAATACAACATAGTTTTGGTAAAACAATTAACAGCCACCACGTTTGGGTATTTAGAATGGTGTAAAACACTAGGTATAGTCCATTAAATACACTGCTACCCATATTTAGTGCATCGTATCCTGATTGTTAAACAGGATTATTGGATTACAATATTATTTAAGTCTCAATAGGTTGGAGATCAACCTTCATTTACATGTTTTCTGATTATCCTATTATTCCTCTCCAAAAAAAATTGCTTGTCCCAATTCAAAACAGATATTGACCTCACCTTAACTGCTGCAAAGTGAAGTGCATTGAATAATGGTGCATTGACTCGTGTCAGCTATGTTACAGTGACTGCACACAATAGCTCAGAACACCACTTTGCTTACTCCCAAGGGGAGCATTGGTGTACATTGGTTTTCTGAGATTCATAGGAAGCCATAGAACCCATTGTGTGTCAAGCCAGGAAATCATAATAATAGCACTAAATAATAATAATAACCATAATAATTCTTGCATCTGGCATAGTGCCTTTCAAATTGGGAGGCCATTTCAAACTTCATAGGATTTATTGAGGGGGAGGGGGCTGGGGTGGGGGGTGGGGGAGAAGAGAATCTCCCTCTAGCCTTAGCCACACGCCGCCCCACATATTTTAAAAGAAAAACGAGAGCCATTTTCATGGGGGAGCTTGGGAACCATTCGTGAGGGCACTCGTGAAATTGTCCCAATAGCCAGTCCGTCCCCGACTACAGGTTGAGTCATGAATTGCTCTGTTGGCCGAGTCTCTGTGGAGTCAACTCAGTTGAAGCCACCTTGAATTCAGCAGTTCTATACTGGAATTTTCACACTGTTGTTTTTTGCTGCTATTTGTTTCAGGATGTAGCAAATATCTCAGTATTGAATGCTTGGTTCTGTTTAGTTGGCATCAGTCCCGAATGCCTGCACCCATGGTTTAATTTCCTCCCAACATAATCTCAAAGAAAATCAGTTCTGTAAATTGCGCATTGCATAAAGTGCTCAGTCAGCATTCGACACCTTGACAATTAACCCTGGAGAACATATCTGAATTCTCAAGATGGTAAATTTCAGGATATATTAATGTGGAACTACAGCTAACTATAGAGGGACACCACTGCATGATGACCCAAGAGAACCGCAAAGAATGCCAACCACAACCCATTAAAACTTATGGTATTTTGATGACATTTCAAAACTACGGTGCTGATAAAAAAAAGCATAGCGTTTGGGGAGCTGGTAATAATTTTTGAATCCGGTAAAAAGGTCAGCATCGTATGTCTTGCAATAAAATCCTCAGCTCTGGCACATCAGCCATCTGAAATGAACTGATCGGTTGAGCAGCCTGACTGAGGCTTGGGAAATGAGTTTGACCATCAGTGAATGTTGAGATTAAACATGAGCCTTCCTTATTGCAAATCATTCAGCTGCTAAAGCTCACAGGTCAGCGAGAGAATGATGTTGCTCCAGCAACTCCAAGAATCACCTTTAAACAACAATATATCTCTGATCCACTAAGAGGTGACTAACTATAAATTACAGTATGAAAATGGTAAAAAAAAACGTAAACTTGCCACCACCACAGTAGCTTTCACATGAAGCTTTATGTCCACCATCAAGTTCTAAGGTACCATCACATTTATTGCCCTCATATCAAAATTATTCTGTTCCTACTCTGCTCAATCTACCCACAAAACAAACAAAATGTCAAAAGCAAAACACTACTAAAAACAAAATATGATTGAACGTATTATATTGTAGAATAACAGGTTGTAATGAGTTTAAGGCATTAATTTATTGCGCAATGAAGCCAGTGGCGCTCAGTTGAATTGCTGCCTCCTTACTGAATGCCAGCCACCTGAATCCTCCAAGTAAACAGAAACCTTACATTTGTTTATAGCTAAGAAATGTTGCCATATTGCTACGAAAGTTCTCAGTGGTTTGCTAGTCCTGGAATAACTTAGGGTACACTCCAATATAGACTCAAAATGGCTTTATTAACGCCAAGAAATTTAATATCATCAAACAGTGGCTATCCGATTATCCTGAAAATTGTTCATTAAACAATGAACACTGCTAATGAACACACCACTGCAACAAAGACACCTCCACACCATGTTGCCCAAGAATGAGCAAATCCTATCACACACATGCCTGGAGGATTGATGCTCCAGTCATTGCAGGGATTCATTGAGAGCTGAATAGCTTAACAGAATACTACAACTGAATTACTTTCTACAAAACAAAGAAAACTCCAAATATACCTACAGCACATGGTCACCTACAAAATACACAGTCACTACACTATGAAGCTTTTTGAGATGTCCGTCCACTGTGAAAGGTGCTATATCAAATGCAATGATCATTATGAATTATTGTTCTTATTATGTAAATGAATCTGTGACTTGCATTCCCCCCCCATTAGAAGATAAGCAAGAATATTTTTATAAATCAGATATAATTGTGCATTATTTTATTCATCCTTGCAAAGGTGCTGGTTCACACATCATAAGACATTTTTATTTATAGCACTGGTAATAAATCAGAATTGCCCTGCTGATATTAATCCTGAGAATTGTAAAAAACATTTTCAAACAACTTTACAATTGACTTCTTTAGCACATCAAAAATGGAGATTGCGACTTTTAAAATGGTGTAAATCAGAAACTTTGTGGAGGTCCCGCACCACATTCAGTGCAGAGGAAAACTTTTGCGCGCACACAATACCAGACAGTCAGTGTCAATCTCTAATTTCTTATAGCTCCTTCTCGAACGGAACAAGCTGAAGGATGTGAAAAGGGTTTGAAACCCAGGTCCATCATCAATAGGTTCCTAATGTTAGTTGAAGAGCCTAACCTCTCTGGGTAAACAGGAAGCACCTTCTGTAAACTGAATAAATTGTATGGTCACAAGAGCTGTTGGATTTTGAGAGCAGGACCAAACAGATTTAATTTTTGTCGCACATCTTGAATAAATCAAAGTTTCTCGTCCACAGATACCATACATTCCCCTCTATCCATTTGCTGTACATGTGACACTTTCTTGTATTCTTTACTCTATGCACTGGCGACCTTCTTCTGCCTGCACTGCCTGTAGTGTATTGACCACAGTTATGAATCTAACCTGCAGGCTGGCAAGATGTGTCCAAGAACTGAAGACAATAAGGCCCCACTAAGCAGCGATACAGTGGAACCAGGCTCTCCATTACAGGTACCATTTGTTGTAACTCACATAGGAAATAAAGGGCTAAACTAGCCTAGTCTTTAAAGGGCAACCAATCACCTCTATACAGGGATCAGAGTTGCTGGGGAGAGTAAATGACACCGAGAATGAAAAATGTCACTCATTAGCAAACAAATCAGCCAGCGCTTGTATATGCTTAACCATTATTGCTCAGTCACTGGGGAATTTCATTTGTTATTATGCCCAGAGATCAACTTAAGCAAAGTTACAACTGTCAAACGAAAGGTCGTGTGCTGTCATGGTTAGCTATCGTTTGTGTCCAATTGAATAATGGCCCTGCTGTAAGCGATTGCATGCAACACACTTGGGGTTTGAAGACAGCTCCACAGCACTGTATCGTTTCTGAGGGAGTTAGATTATGTAACTGCAACCTACGCTGATCTTCTAGTTAGTGGCTCTCAATACACCGTCACCAGTGGTTGTGAAGACAAGGCTACGCTGACTGTAACCTCACGCATTCAAGTCAAGTCTGCAGAGTGCTTTCACGCTGCAACCATGGCAATGACTATTCTCCCCCTCTTCCCCCCCACCCCCCCTTTAAATTTGGGATTGTACATATTAATCCAAGGAAGGGATCACACACAAAATGAAAAGCACAGATCTCTGTCTTCTTATTTACAATAACTTTCATTTATATAATGCCTTTCACTTAAGAGAACATCTCAAGCACCTTTGGGGCCCTAAGGTATATGGGAGAAAGAGGAGGGGGTGGGGGGGTATGAGAGTGATAACCAAAACATGGACAAAGCAACAACAAAATTACATTTGTATAGCGCCTTTCACATCATAAGGATGTCCCAAGGTGCTGGGCAGACAGAATTTCAGACACGAGCTGAGGGTCATGGTGGGGGAGAGGGGAGGGCAGGGGGGCAAGCAGGGAGAATGAAAGCATGGTCAAAGAGGAGGGTCTTGAGGTGGGTCTTGAAGGTGGCGAGTGAGGGGGCGAGATGGAGGGCCTGCGGGATGGAGTTCCAGAGGGTGGGTGCAGAGTGGCAGAAGGCCCGCCCGCCGATAGTGGGGCGAGCGAGGCGGGGGATGTGAAGCAAGCCGGAGCCCACTGAACGGATGGAGCGAACAGGGCGGTAGGGGGTTAGGAGTTTGAAGAGATAGGGGGGAGCACAACCATGAAGAGTCTTGATAATGAGAACCAGGATCTTGAACTGAATCCTCTGTGGGATGGGAAGCCAGTGGAGTTGGGCAAGGATGGGGGTGATAGGGTCACGGAGCCTAATGTGGGAGAGGACACGGGCTGCAGAGTTCTGGATGATCTGCTGCTTGTGGAAGGAGGAGTTGGAGAGGCCGATAAGCAATGAGTTTGCATAGTCGAGCCTCGATGTAATGAAGGCACTTGGTTTTAGAAGAGTTTTCATAGCAGAGATGGAGGGGGTGAAGTGGAGGAATTTAGGAAGGGAGTTCCAGAGAGCAGCAGCACATAGTGCATGAAAGCTCAACTCCCTGCCACTCTCCCTGCTTCGATCGGTCAGTGAAAGTTTACATTATCCAAACACCATGTGAAAAACTGTGAGAGAATGATTTGTGGTGTTTGAACATCAGGCTTCTATAATCAATGGAATTTAATTTTCAACTTAACTGGATTTAGCGACGTTATGAATTGAAGCTTTCAATTTCGGGCAGCAAACGTCTGTGGTGTGTGCCTTGATTAAACTTGGCCCAAAGCCTTCATCCTGGAAAACCTCTCTCCTCTGCAATGTTCGCGACAAGCAAGAGTTATTGCAAAATCCTAAATAGACTCTTTAGAATATTTCAAAATAGGTTTAGATAGCTTGCAGTGGCCTCTTTTGTGTTACAAAAAATGGTGGCGCAGGTTACATTTTTACCAATTTGCCATCATCCACATCGCCAGGTTAGTTTCTTTTCTTTTAAAAAACAGTAACGCTTTTTCACAGAGACTTAAATGCTGTGTGAAATCTGGAAATCATGCGTCAGCTTAGCTAAGTGAATAGCGTTCTCACATCTGAGTGAGAAGGTTGTTTTCAAGTCCAGCTCTACTCTGGGACTTGAACCCATAAGCAGACACTGCAGTAGAACTCTGGAGGAAAAATAATCATTGTTGAGGAGATTTTTAACCAAGGTTTACCTGTCCAGGTGGACATCGAAGCTAACTGTTTAAGAAAGAAAGGCAGTTTCTTGGCCACCAATTGGTCATTCGTCTCATGGATTTTTCGGACCTTGCAAATTGCTAGCACTTTTGTTTTTGCCGACAAAACCTATCAGTACTCTCGAGAGTAATTCCTTGGGAAGCACTTTGAGACATTTCAACATGATAAAGGGCAATACAGTGCAACACTTTCCTAGTACCTCAAAGGAGGATCAGCCGGTACTGAGTGAAAGTGTCAGGCAACTCAAGTTTCAAATAAAGTCCATTTCTCCTTCGTTAACCTTTTTGCTTTTCCAACGTTGAAATGACATCAAGCAATATAGGAAATAATTCAATCAACTGCAGGATTTGGCAATTATCTTCAAACCTCTTAACAGTAAAATGATTTTGTTTCAGCAAAATCATCAAAATAGTCGGAGGATGAAATACAATAAGACAGCTTAAACCACAAACTGCTGCTTAAAGGTTAACCAGTTAGAAAGGGGTAAACATTTATTTCTCAAATGTAACAATAGTTATTTGTTTGCACCAGTTAAATGTAATACTGTATGATACCTGAGCCCACTGCAGATAAATACATGCCTATAAACCAATGACGTGATAAAACAGAGGAATGCACGAGCCGTCGAAGCCAGTTTCCCAGGAAAACAACAATGGCTGGTGGGTTAGGTGGGTTGTGACAGCAGAGTAGTCGCCAACCCAACCGATAATTAAGAAATACATTTTATATGATTTGAATTGTGCGAGATTGTTTTCAAATTAGCGTGTCAGAACTGATAAAACTCAGCTGCATGAGAGCTAAATGAAACGTGTGGGTTAAAAAGGAATTAAAGGATTTAGCAGATTACTTGGGAGTGTATTCAACTAACTCTAATGACCCTTTATTCATAGGCTTAATTACTAGAATCAGGGGCTACTCGGTGTCTTATTAATATGATAATTTAATCAAACTGATTCATCCGATTATTCATAGGAGTGTTGACACGTCAGCTACTTGTGACATTTCTGAGAGATCTGTGGATAGTTTTCAGGTACGCTTGGGTCAGTGCCAAGTAATTGAGTCATAATTATATTCTAACAAATATTTTTAATACGTGCTAAATAACGCAACAGGCAGTAAACGGTTGATTCTTTTAGAATCAATTGAATTACGCTGTAAGAAATATAATAAACAACTTTCATGATCGCTCATCCTAATTACCATGGCGATGAGAGAAATTTCTCTGTGCTGCATTGGTTTCAGCAGCAGATGATGTACTCTCCTCATTTCTCTCAGCAATCTTTTGGCAGCTGCTACTACCACTGAATTCCATCTGCTATGTTCTCTTGTGCACACAGTCCATCCCTTTAGTCATATTCCTTTAGAACTTTTCCCCTCCACCCACTTATCCATGGAATATCAGGTGTGGAAAATGTTCATCCCCTTTAGTGTCAAGTATAGGCCTCTCACTTCTCTCCTATCACTGGTAGAATGTCCTTTTTTATAACCCAGTCCAATAGGTTTTCAGAACTAATTCAAGGACGTGTTCGCCCACAAATATACAGTCAATTCACTTTACAGTGTGTTCTGTGAAGCGCTTTGGGACATCCTCCCGACGTGAAAAGCGCTATATCAAATGCAAGGATTATTTATTTATTATTTTGATGGCTGCAAAGGATGCCTTTTTCCCACCCATTTTTAGTGGTACTCATACAGAACAAAGGATGCAATAGCACAACTGTTTCTAAAGTAAAGTATCACATATTTCCTTTACTCTATTTATATGGATGTAGATCAAAGTCTTTTTTTTATCACTGTTAGATGGGTGTAAAAAATTGGAAAGATTTAGCTTTGGAATGAAACATACTGTTACATGGAACATCTCACTGCAAAATGATCCAGAGTCTAGAGTTGGGGTTAAAACATAGGTAATTAAGCCATATAAATTTAATCAGAAAAAAGCCAGAACAAGTAAATACGGATACACCTTTGGGAATAGAATAGCAACAATTTAATTCTTGTACATTAAACCGCAAAAGGGCAGGACGAGAAATAATTAGTAAAGAGGTTCTTTCCTGAAGAGAATGTGAAATCTGAGAACAATAAATTAAGAATTGGGAGTTGAGTATTAAAAATGCATTTTTATTGACTCAGCATTTGAAACACAACATTCATCTACTGCATGAGAATACCAGAATATAGGCCAATGATACAGGACAGTTGGGCTCTTGTGTTTATGCATGTTGTGCAATTTTGAGAAGAGAGACTTTACGTGATTTACAGGTGGCACCTTTCAAAGATAAAAAAAAGTTGGCAGATTTGTTGAAACTTTAGAAAGGAAACAAACCAAATAACCAAACCATGTTCATCTCTGCCCTCAAAACATCATGTATCTCTTGTGCTGCATTTCAATACATTTTGACACAGTCCGTGTCATGTTTGCAAGCAACAACAACAACAACATGCATATATTGGTGGATCGGTTTCCAGGAGTAATAATTGCTTAAAAAAAATAACAATTTGGTCACTCAATCCATGACTGTTTGTGAGATACTGCTGTGCACAATTGACTGCTGCGTTTCGCCCACAAAATATACAGTCACTTCACTTTACTGTATATTCTGTGAAACGCTTTGAGACGTCTTGAAGACGTGATAAGGTGCTATATCAAATGCAAGGATTATTATTATTATATAGCATTCGTCATGCGGGGCAGCTTAAACGAACAAATGAAAGAGTGCTGACCAGGACGTCTTAAGAGTTAAAAGATTTCAGATGCTCCTTGTTTTTTTGTATCCCCCCGTAGATGAAAACCTATAATTCTTCAAGATATACAAGTGGATTAAGAACATCAGAAGAAAATGGGAAAATTGAGGGGATGTGATGATTATTGCTCTATGTGGAAGAGGAATAAATCCTTCACGATGGAAGCATTCCAGTAACACGCTGAAATAATTTGAGTTGAAATCATTCCCCTTTGCTGATCACATCAGCGGTTTTAGTTCAAAGGTCAGAACCTTTGTGTTCCCTGCAGGAGAGTACATGCTTCATATACAAACAAGTTAGTCTTTTTGAAAGAAAAACAGTAGGAAGTTAGGAAGCTTTTTAGGAAGCTAGTCTTTAGAATTAATGACCACAGTGCAACAAGGGTCCAATGAATTTTCTTCACACTCAATGTTACTATCCATTTCCTGAACAGATATGAGAGGAGTTTGGCATGTGTTCAACACAGAAGGCAGCTGCAATTTTGTTGATCTCTGGTTGACGAAAGAAGTAAGTCAAATATCGAAGAAGCACTTCATCGGGTTAACAAAATCAAGAGTAATGTTGCAACAGTTAGTTTGATGCTGAATGGTTCTGCAGCAAGGAGCCAAGAACAAACATTAATAAAAATAATATGCCCCATTTAATTAATGTTTCCAACTGAAGTGGATTACAAAAGATCATCCAAAGTAGATATTACCTTAAAGCAATAATGAATGTTGAGAGTTAATTTATACCACATAAAGTTACCATCACAAGCTCACAAAAGACACTGCCTATTTGCCAAGACTCTTAGCTCATTTTGCTGTTATTGCTGTACAGTATATTCCAAAATAGACCAATGGCTTTGCTCTCTGTTTTATCTAGGTCAAGTGTCAACAGTTTTTAACCTTCTCATACAAATTTGTAGAACTAAACATTTTATTTTACAAGCGACCCAGTTGTATTTGTCGTGAATCTTGAATGTTTGTTATTCTGTGAATTATCTCCCAACTTTGTCTTGTGTGAAATATTTGCCATGTTGTATGTTAAGCACGTGAAAAAAACTCCAGCTTCTCAGTCACTATCTTCTGCTTTCTAGCCATGGTCTCATTTGGGGGGGAAAAAATCTCCCATCGAAACAAATGGAGAATTATTGAGAGATAAACAGATCAACAACCACAGCATTTTGAAAATCTCTGACTTAGTGCTGCGAATAAATGGAAGAAATGTATTTGACAGACCTACAATTATAATCTGTCTCACCTTTCTATTTGTAGGAATTTATCTTTTTTTTAAAAAAAGAATTCGCTGTACAAGAGCGTAATAGTTGGACAATATTTTATGTATAATTTTTCAAATATCAAAATCGTTTGAGAAAGTTATTTTCCAATTTTTGAAAATATTTGGGTGGAATTTAAAAAACATCTTAATTTGAGTATTTAGTGGGATCCATTTAAAATGTAATTTAACTCGACACTGAGATCCCCATCACTGGGTTGCGAAATGAGGAATGGGCTGCGATTTGTACATCGCTTTCTAATATTCCAGATGTATACAGAATACTGCCCGCAGTTTTTTTTATGTACAACTCAAAATAAATATTTTAAAAGCTACAGACAGATTTTCAAGGCTCAGAATCGTTATCAAGCAAAAGCTGGATGATTTACCTACCAGATTTGTCGGCTGGAATAAATATTGCCAAAGTACAATACAATACAAAAGTAGATACCGGTAGCTCCAATAAAAGCCCAAAGTACAACTTGTTTGTTTTTCTTAAGGTATAAAACAAGTGGAAAGCTTGCTGGATTTGAAATCAATTAGTTCACATAGCGATGCGGTTCACTCCAGTCTATCAATCATGTTGTCAATCCCCACGAGCTGGAGCAGCAAGACTAACATTTTTCCTAAAAAAAACTGCATTCAAGACTTAATCTCGAATCCCTGGACTTGGTTCAAACATTCTAACCGTTGGAAGGATTTGCACCGTGCTGATAACAATCTTTACAATTAAAAGCAACCTTTTCAAACACTTTAGGTGTCGATCTGGGGGTAAGATAATTTATCAAACATCTAAAACAATTTATCAAATATCTAAGATAATTTATCAAACATCTAAATTAAGAGATATTTCAGTGTTAGAGAAAGTCCTGTTTTCAAGCATTATCAGGAAAGCAAAATTTCTGAAATAGTGGAATACGTTGAAACTCTCAAGCAATGAATGTTTAAATCAATACAAATTCCGTTCAAAATAGATTTCTTCATTACGGTCAAAATATCGTACATTTTCAGGGCACTTTATTACTAAAAGTAAGCGCCACCTCAAAGCATTCTTTCATTGTTTTTATGTAAGATAAATGCATATCCATCATGATCTGCCCAATTGAGAGGAACTGTAATATCTTCAGGAAGGGAAATGGAAAACAAATGTACCAGCTAAACATTGTTTTACAAAAAAGAAAACTGTTTTCAGCAAGGTTCTTCAAATAAAATCAGTCAGCTTTCTGAACAGCAGAAATTCAGGAGTTAAAGTCCATTGTAAAAGCCCTGTTAAGATTTCTATTAAGTCTCCCTTGGTTCGGACATTGAAAATAACTCAGTAACAAGAGCTGAGCCTTAATTGAATTTGTGAATTTTCTTGCCAAGTTGAGAATGCAACTGCTTGAAACAGAATCTAAAAATTCTACATGTTCTGTATGTTTTCATAGGTTACAAAGAAATACTGCGTGTCTTGGTCTCAATTTTCTGTACTTAAAATGACTTTTAAATCTCTTGCACTGTACGAAAATAAATAGCACAAGTCAATTCTGATAATGTCATGTTGCCATTTAATTAATGTGAAAATATACATTTTAATTAAACGTGTGCCCTTATATTTCAGTACACTGGTTGGGATGCATTAATTTTGCCCAAGTTTGTCACTTTAAACTCTTTTCATTTCAATACTGCGAGCAAACACTGTAATTGGCATTGCAGATCATTCCACTGGAAATCGTTTTCATGTCAGATTCCATGAATAATTTAGAAGTGTGCCAACGACTAACATATATCGTGTTTCAATATTAATTATTTAAGGAGGTGCTTATCAAGGCGTCCTGTATCTCAGTGGTTAGAGCACTCACCTTGCAAACAAATTACCTGGGTTCGATTCCTGGCAGGGCAAAACCTTGGGCAAGTTTCCTTACTCCACATGCCTGATAATTAACCCTCAAGAAAAAAACAATAATAAAATTGGACACTTCAATCCACAACTGTCTGTGGGACACTGCTATCGTTTCGCGCACAAAATATAATCAATTCACTTTGTAGTATATTCTGTGAAGCGCTTTGAGACGTCTCGAAGACGTGAAAAGTGCTATATCAAATGCAAAGCTTACTCTTTTCATTATAAATTTTATTCACGCACTTCAAATTGTGGCTGTAATAAAAGCAACCAAAATATGTCACACCTAACTGCAGTGCACATGAAACAAATTGCAGCACAAAACAATGCATTTCCAAAAATATAATCCATAATAATAGAAACAATTACAACATCTACAGGAATTTAGGTTGATGCAATGGCTCAATCTGGCAGTTAGAGAATAATGCGGTGCAATAACCTACCCGTAAATGAACACTACAATTTACAAATGTGAAAACTGGAGCCTTTAAATATTCAGTTAAAGCATCTACTTGGTTGGTCTATGTACATTCATTGCAATGTGTGCTTGAATCAAAAAATACAACAACCTTTCACAATGTAGGTTAGGGGTAATTAACGTAGCATACATCAACAGGCATACATTTATATGAAATTGTAACACATTATATACTACATAGGTGGATGCCTTGATAGTTCAGTGTGTGAGCAAGTTTGATTTAAACTGCATAGGAACATGGAATGTTAGGACTGTCTCATGGAGCAGGCAAGATTGGGGGGAAAATATGAAACTTGAGCTCATAGGCTACTCTGGCATTCAAATGCAATCCTGGGGGGAGTGGTGCTTTGTCAGTGGTGCCATCCTTCAGATAAGACATTGAACCAAGTTCCCACCTGCCTGTTCAGTTCAATGTTAAAAAATTAATACCTGTGGCACTCTCTGAAAACAGAGAAGGGAGTTTCTCCCTGTGACCTGGCCAACAAATCCCCGGATAAAGTCAGTCACCCAATTCAAGACCGTTTATGGGACATTGCTGTGAGCAAATTGGCTGTGCTGTTCACTTACAAATACACAGTCACAACTTTATTGAATCAATCCAGAGAAGCCAGTGTTGTTTGTTTTTTGCCATGGCTAGATTCAACATCTCTGCCCACAGTTTTTGACCCTTTTCTTCATCCAGCAATGCTAGATGGACATTTAAAGTGCAAATGCTGGCTGAGAACAGCATTAGGTGCAGTTGTGACCCCATGGTTGAATGACCCACTGACACCCACTGCCCAAACTCACATATGAAGAATGGCCACTTGGGAGAGAAACCCGGCAGCTACAGGTTTCTTATAACCATAACCAGTAGAAGTCAGAAGCAAGGTATGGAGCTGAATACCTGAACAGGTATACAACGAATAGGTATATCAACATGAAGAAGTCTTAGCTATCAGATAAACAGTTATAAATAGAGATCAATTTTTAAATACATAGATGTATATAGATGTACAGCTATTAATTATGTTAAGTGTGCGGTTAAGAATAAACAAGAGTTGACTTGAGTATAGAGTTGAGAGAAGAATATGGATCAAGGAGGATGATTCTTACCTGGGAAAAACTGTGCTCAATGCCAACTGTTTAAATGTGTTTTCAGGAAATATAGTACACCTTTCTGTTTCATCCCTGAACTGTAATCACTCAATCAGAACTCCTTGACCGTGGAATATTCTCGATCCTAAAGCAATGAGGTGAAAATTATAGCATTTGGAGAACGATTCACACCATGATTACCCAATAAACTGAATAAAATTGTTTTGTTTTGAAGCATAATTGCAAACCGTTAATGAAAAATGAATTAATGGCTATTAATGACTGAATGGCATTCCACCTTGTCATTATGAAATGTTCCGAGACATTATCCTACATGAAAGGTACTATAATAAAACACAAGTTATTGTTGACCACAGAACAAACAGAAGTAGACGGGTTGTGTATTATTACTGGTTAGATCATTAATCATTAACGGACTTACACGAATATAAGGTGAAATATTAATGTTTAATAAGGCCATGTGATTAAGAAAACACATATTCCAGCATAAACTGCCTCTACTGCAAAATGTAATGGTGGCTTGCAGGAAAATATTTTTCTTTAAATGACATTTCAGTACATTCACCACTGGTTCATGGACTTCACAAATAGATTGGTTGTTCAAGAATACCGTAGTTGATTAAAATGGTAAATAATTTATTCTTCAGGCAATGCTGAGCATCAAAGTCTATTCATGAATAATATAGTTCTCCAGTTATTTCCACAATATGGAAACAAGACTCCTGTTTACCAACTAAATAAAGAGAAAATATACATAGAAAATGTTTTGTTTTGATGAGTAATTATGAATCATTAATGAATAAATTAACTTCCAGTCCCGAAAAGCAGGTGGCACATCACAGCAAAAGGTGGGTTCGCCTCTTATTATTCCTGCCAGTGTTTGCATATTAACTAAAAGGGAGTTCAGTTTAATCTGCTGGAGGCCATACACAGACTTACTACAGTCAATTAAGATGACAGCCATCATCTACTTGCCTCCTTTTGGCCCATCAGATATCCTTCCAGAACTCCTCCATACCATCCTCCAATGACACATCTTTGAAAGACAGATTTTAGACATCTCCATAGAATTTTTTTCAGATTAACAAAATGATTGAGAAAGTTCATCCAGAAAAACGCTCCAAACCACAAACTGTGGATGTTTTGCTTGAAACTATATTTAATTCTCATTGCTTATGTAGACATTTTTTAAAACAAAATAATGCATGTGAGATATGT